TGAATTTCAGTTGTAATCAGCATAATGGCATGTCCTACTTCATTCTCACCCAATCCTGAGGAAATCTAAATCATTATTTCTCATATTCTATCAATGTTGAAAAAACAGGAATTGCCAAAACCCCATTATTTCAGCAAATATATGTGTTTCCAATGATAAATTCAAGCTGCATTCCCAAGTCAGTACAGGCCACAGTGGTCCCTCTTTGGACTGTTAGGTTCCACTTTACAGTTTGGTAAAATATAATGTGCAAGATTTATTTAAAAATATGTTCCACTTCAGATAAAACAATGTTTTAAATGATTAAAATAATTACAGCATTAACATATAATACAAGTTAGTCCTAGCAATTGCCTCAGATAGTTGGCAATTAAAAAAAGTAACTTTTTGACCAATGCCTGCATTTAGGACAACAAAAGCCTTCAGTATGAAACTGATTAAGGTCTGCTCAGTTTCCAGCAGCTACTAGTCCCCTATCAAGTAATTAAGATCACAGAGCTTAACTTTTTAGGGAAGTGCAGCTCAGAAAGAGATGGCTTGTGAGAGGGTGAAAAAGGAAAGAAAACCAGGTTCAGACAGAGAAAGCTGTATGAGGGAACTTTATATGAATGAGACAGAAGCAACTAGCAATTTTCACAGCATCTTTGTCTCTCAGTCATGTGGTTCCATGTGTATCATTTTGCTGGAACCAACTGCAATCGCTAAATGAGGACTACCTGTAGTTTAACATAGTATAGATGTGAGACTTGCTGACATGAGCTTTTCCAAAGAGCGAGAATAGAGGCTGCAGTGTGCCAGTGGAAGCAGTAGATGGCACTCTTCCCTCAATGTTGTAGATCAATATTTCTCAATGTTGGCAACTTTTAAGATTTGCAGACCTCAACACTAGAAATTCCCTAGCCAGCGCGCTAGGGAATTCTGGGAATGGAAGTTCACACATCATAAATTTGCCATGATTGAGAAACACTGTTATAGACTGATTCTCTCATGTACACAGAGAAACTCTTATCACACCCCAGAGTACTCCATGCCAGGAACTCTCCTTAAAAAGGTAAAAGTATCCTCACATCAGCCTCTGTTGCCAGTGACGACATAAATACAACCTTGCAGCTTTCTTGCCTACAGTACAGAACTAGTTTGCAACTGCCTTCCTTAAATCATTTTTTTTTTTCTGTAAAGGACAAGAGATCAGCCACAATCAGTCTTCTATATGCATTCTTACTATAGCAGCTTAAGGCTAGTAATGGAAACACACCTGGAACATAAGCAGGAATCTTTCAAAAGGGCTGTTGATAAGTAGCACAGGCATATGGTTTACAGGGAGAAAGTGCCTGTGGCAGAACCAGCTGCCATGATAGCTGACTGAAAAGTGTGTAAATCAAATGAGTATCAAACAATAAATTGTATTTACTGTTGTTTTCCGCTGCCAATCTTAGCAACTGCTTATTCAGATTAGTTGCATTCCCTAAGTTTTCAGTAATTCTCTTCTCACAAGCACATTTGACCAAAACCTGAACTGCCCTCTTTTGATTTCTCTGGCCTGGTTGCTCTCTTCCTTCTGCTTGACTAATATTAGGAAGCCCCTTTCTTGTCTCTTTATCCAACACTCTGTGATTGAAACAGCCAATCATAGCCATATGGTAAGGGTTATTTTTTACTTGAGGAGATACCTGCCAACCATTGGACTAATTCTTCTCCAAGCTCACATTATCATGGCACCTTTCTTGCAATGCCTTTTTTTATTTGTTTCACCTTGTTTGGGCAAAATTGTGTGTATCTGTGTGTCTGTGTCTGTGGGTTGATAAGTCCATAGTAGCCTTGATTCATAAATATGGGGTAAACACAGCTAAATGTCCTCCTCAAGCACAAAGTCCAGAAGTGGTTTCCAAGTAGAAACAAAAGTGCTTATGTTCTTTTATCAGCACAGTCAATTTGGCCATCTCTGCTAATTGCATCAGCTTTTGTAACCGTTCATCCATGGTAGGAATCGAAGTATCCTTCCACTTTTGTGCATAGAGCAGTCTTGCTGCCATCACCATAAATAAAATCAGAGTTTCAATTTTCTTTCAAGTTGTCTTTCCATTAGACCCAGAAGGAAAGTTCACTTTAAGAATTTTCTGCATTAATATATGAATCCTACTCCAATATTTCTTTGCCTTATTACATGTCCACCATAAATGGTAAAGAGTCCCTTCTTTACATTTACATTTCCAACATTCATTTAAAATACCTTTATACATTCTAGATAACATATCTGGTGTTAAATACCAGCGATGCATCATTTTGTAAAAAAATTCTTTTAGTCTATAATTTAATGTGAATTTTAAGACTTTTATCCAGATATTCTCCCATTGTTCAAACATCACATTATTTGTGCTTGACGTGGAAAAAAATGATTATTATGATTTTGGGTTTTATCAGTTAGGCTGATTTGCCGATACAGAAATGGCTAGTGCTTACTGTTGGATTAAAGCAGGGGTTCTCAACCTTGGCAACTTTAAGACTTGTGGACTTCAACTCCCAGAATTCCTCAGCCAGCAAAGCTGGCTGAGGAATTCTGGGAGTTGAAGTCCACAAGTCTTAAAGTTGCTAAAGTTGAGAACCCCTGGATTAAAGTCTTCATCCTGGTTCATCCAAGCCGGGGATAAATAAGCAACATGACGACTGCTTGGGAAGAAGATTACAGTTTATTGAAGAGGGAGAAAGATGGTTCTTGCAGGAAAGACCAGAGGGAAAAAGAAGGGGCTGAGCACATGGGCAGTAGGTTTTTATACCCCCTCTAACCTTTTGTTTGGAATAGTTTCTTGTTCCTGTGGCATGAAACTTGAGGCTATTTCTGAGTGTTTTTCTAGGCCTTGATATCTGTGGTTTAGTCCTATTATGTCCCAAAAGTCATCTCCAGCTTCCCTGGGTCTGGGCTAATGACTCTTAAGAGTTTCTTTGTCTTCTTGAATTCCCTGGCTCCAACCTTCCTGATGGTTTTACATCTGCATTTGTATAGGGCTGGCTCTTGCTTGGGGCAGAGATTTGAGGCCAGAGAGATTTGGTTTCTGCTTTTAAAAAAATCCCTTTGAGGAAAAATATATTTTTCTGCCCCTTTTAATATTTCCTTCTTGGGGAGGGCTAACTTCCCTCAATACTATTATAGAAATATAAAAAGTTGAGATTTGATTTTAATGTCTGATTTTACTGCAACAGAGAGAGTCGGAAGTCAATGCCTTTTGTTTCTTCTCCGCCCCCTTTTCACACCTTTTTTGTTTTGTTTGTCCCCTACTATTTGCTTTTGTATTTTCACATTTTATGTTATAAATGAATAAAACTAATTAAAAAAGACAGCTAGAAGTCAAAATAAGATGAAATGAGATAAGTGAAGAATGCTAAGAATAATGCTTCTTATTCAAAAATAGAAAGAAAAAAATAGTATTTCATTAGTTCAGCGAGAATGACAAAGTGGTACCATATAGCAAAGAATAGAGAAAAGGGTTTTTTTTCCTGCTGCTAGTCTCCAGTAACCGGTTTTGGCTGGGTTTGCATACTCTGACACAAAACTAGGTAGTTAGTGTGGGTTTGCAAATCCCACCAGTGTGATTACTTTATAGCACAAGGTGCTATATAAATCAATTGAATTAATGGTGTTAACTCTAAAGGATGTAGAGAATGGCCTAGAAGGACAGGAGAAAGAGCCACTACTAAGGCAATGATGAGATAAGCACAGGTTGAGTCCCTAATTCACACAACAATAAAGGGAGAAGGAGGGAAACACATCCAAAGTTTCCAGATTCTGATACTAGAGGTATTCTTCGGGTTACAGCTACTTGTTCAGCCATTGTTCAAACTTGTAATGGTTCTGAATCGGGGGAAGGGGGGACTTATGACCAGTCCTTGGAGTTCTGCCCATCGCAGCATTGCTACATTCAGATGATCACTAACCATGTTTGGTGCCTAGCTGGCAATTACAACATTGCAGCAAACTGCAATTATGTGAACAAGATTTCCCGTGTTCTTTGCCGACTTCCCACAAGCAAAATCAATGGTGAAGCTGACAGGAAACTGGAAGTCAGTCATGTGAGATTCCCGCTTAATGACAGCAACCAGGACTGCCAGGACTGCTGTCACTAAGCAACACAGCCACATAAACCATGTTACTTAATGACAGTAATTCCAGTCCTTACTGCTATTGTAGCCTTCCATAGAGTGGTTCCAATAAAAGTAGTTTCATATTTATATGGCTTTGGTTTCTTAGTCTGGCCTATTTTACAAGGCTAATTTTAACCATGGCTTGATATGCTTTCTTTGATCATGGACATACCATAATGCCATCAATATATTGTTCATACTGATTATATGAGCTTCCACTGATCTAATTTTAAAGCCATCTAAATGACTGCCACCATATTTTGTAGCACCCAGCCCTCATGTAATATTACCTTTCATGTAATCGCCAGGTTTAATATAGCCAAGTGCAATTGCTATTTCAGTTCCTTACTTAAACTTCTCCTCATAAATTATATGGCATCACTGCTTCATTCAACACTGAGTTTTTATTTTAAGTAAGTGTAATGTCCTGCCATGAATACAATCATCTTCAGAGGTCATGGCCTGTAGATGAACTATTTCTAGAGTAGTGCAGATTGAATATGATCATTAATGACAGAATATTATTAAATGACAGAAAAACAGAATAACAGATTTGGAAGAGACCTTGGAGGTCTTCTAGTCCAACCCCCTGCTCAAGCCGGAAACTCTCTATACCATTTCAGATGGTATATGTCTGTTGGGTGGAGGATGAAAAAACAAATACTGGTATGTAATTGAAATGTAACAACTTGTATGAAGACAAGATTAGTTGGCTAACCCACTACTTGTGTCTTGAACAAGACCATAAAGGTGGGGGTGTGTTGGGTGTTTCATTACAGGCCCCATTCACTTATTGATCCTTCCTAATATGAAGCCTCAATCAAACGAGCAAAAATGAAAAAGAGCAAAACAAGCACATCAGGTTAAGGTAAACCAAAATAAAGACATTTTATTTTGAAGAAAATGAACATAATTTTTGTTTCTCCTCCAATGCCCAAATAACCTTCACTAGTGGAACTTCAATTCAGCTGGAAGGTGTGTGGGCTGCCTCAAAGTCATTTCTTTTCCTTTTTCTTCTTATCACCACTGTGAGTCTGTGTGATTAAAAGAAAGGCATTGTTTGACCTTAAATTGAGGAATCTTTTATCCTTTCAATAGGATAGTCCTGCAGGGAAGGGGGGGGGGGAGAGATGAAAGCAAAACAGGCCTGACTCTGTTTTAATGAGAATGGTTCACTACAGGCTACTCTGATGCCAGATGACTCTCTAGAAGACAGAATCTGGATTTTGGAATGAGAAGTTTCAGAGTTGGGACTTTTCAGCTTGAAATGTTTTCTACACCGCTAGTGGAAAGTTATTTTCTAGCAGGACTGCTGAAAGGCTATTAATAGTAGTAGCAAAAAACAGTCTTTTTCAATTGATAACATTTCATATTGATAGTCTATCTTCAACTCTAATAAGTCCACAAATCGCCCATCCTTGCTTTCTGGGAGTTGATAAAATCCTACACTTCTGGGAACACCAAGCTGGTGAAAATAATTGGCAACTATAATTATTGATACCGTACATTTCTTTTCAATCTATCAAGCACCCACTCAATTTGTTTTACCTTTCCAGAATCACTGTCAGAGCTGCTGCTGGAGCTGTCATCGTCTTGCCCGTCATGCTAGGAAATCAAACCCAAGAGATTAGGCCAGCAGCAGGATAAAACACGGAATTTGCCAGTCAACTGACACTGTATGTGGCAGTCTGTACCTAAATGGTACAGTCCTTATTTTTCACACAGGCCCTGTGTAGACACTTATGATGGGAAAATAATCCCACTTAAGAACCTTAGAGGGTTGCTCGCAGTAAAACTGGCAGCAATGAGTTTGGTGGAGAGAGAATCAGAGAGTTGGAAGAGGTCATTTAGATCATCTAGTCCAACCCCTATTTGGTGCAGGGATCCATATGAAAACATCCCTGACATTCAGTCACTCCCTGAATATATCTAGTGAAAGAAAACTCATGTCTTCTCCTGTTAACTCTTCCAACTGTAAAACTGCTTTTATTGCTACAAATATTTTTTTTCCTAAAATAAATCAGAAATTACTCTTTGCTAATGTAGAACCATTATTTTCTTATGCTTTGAGTCAGTACAAACCATGCCTTGATCAAGTTTCAGATACTTGAAGAATGCTGTTATAGCTCTTTCATTTTTCCTAAACATTTTCAGTTACTTCTATCTCTTCAGATAGAACTTAATTTCCAGGCCTCGGATTATACCCTTCTCTGAACCTGTCCCAATTTATCTGAATCATCTTAAACTTTGGTGCTCAGCACTGGAGCAAAATTTAATAGAAGGATAAAGTATGATAATTACTGCCTCCAATAGGACAACTATACTCTATAGCAACCTATAATTGCTGTGAATTTTTTTTTTTCTGCACCCACACAACTCGCATTCAGTTTGTAACCAATTACTCTTCCAAGATCTTTTTCTAGTATGGCTAAGCTAGGCATATCTCTTCTATATCTGTACATTTCATTCTGACTCCTAAATGAAATACTCAAGAAGCTATTTCATTAAGAACTTTAAAAAAATGTGGAACACTTGAAGGTTTGGGGGATCTGACACTTTTGGTGGTGACACTTTTGCTTTCACTCTCAGTTTGATAAGGGACAATTAACATTCCTTGAGTATTTGCATTTTTTTTTTTTTTTGCCAGCTGTGTACCCATTCAAGAGGCACAGTGGTCTAACCGTTAAGATGCTGAGCTTGTCAACAAGACGATAGGCAGTTTGAGACCCAAGTACTGCATGTTGGCGTGAGCTCCTGTTTGTTGCCCCAGCTCCTGCCAACCTAGCAGTGTGAAAGTATGCAAATGCAAGTAGATAAATAGGTATCACTTCAGTTAGAACAGTGTTTCTCAACCTTGACAATTTTAAGGCAGGTGGACTTCAACTCCCAGAATTCCACAGCCAGCAATGCTGGCTGTGGAATTCTGGGAGTTGAAGTCCATATGCCTTAAAATTGTCAAGGTTGAGAAACACTGAGTTAGGTGGTAGAACCTTCCATGTGCTCAGCATGTAGCTATGCTGGCCACATGACCAAAGAAGCATTTTTGAACAATCCTGGTTCCCTCAGCTAAGAAACAGAGATGAACACTACCCCCCTAGAATCGGACACAACTGGACAAGGGAAACCTTTATCTTTACCTTTTGTACCCACTTAACATTCATAAGCATTAAAAGAAGGCAAGGGGAACATTATGTCATCATGCAGGTGATACAACTTAATAGTTGAAAGAGATGTTGTATCAAGAACAAATAAACATATAAATATAAACAATATGCAACATTTCCATGATGAACTCATACATGACAGAGAGACAGAGAATAATTATCTAGATTTTTAGTCACAGAATTGGCCAGTCTTCTGTTCAAATTAGACCTTAGGTGAGGCCAGCCTACTGTAATCTTTTCATTGAACAACATTGATATGTCTAACGTTTGAATATATTATAATTTTTCTATGCCTCTTCTGTTTTTGTCCAATGATGTTTATATTTTGCTGTAAACCATTCTATTATCAGCCTGCATGTGTGTTACTTTTTACACCTCAGTCATCAAGCAAGAAGAATAAGGAGCAAAAAAGGCTTTTTGGGGGGGGGGGAGTGGTATAATGAAGGATCTTTTTTTTTTTTGAGAGGGAAAGCAATGACACTCTTCTTGCCAGCTAGTAATAAAAAAGGAAAAATATCCTGTCTCTGCTCTTTATATTAAAGATCTATTAGCATTAAGTATCCCATAATCATTCAGAGTAAGCCTCACTATTGAACTGTGAAGTGCAATAAATTAAGAGAGGGCAGATGTCACATTTATAGAAGCTATTATGTGTACGTGTGTGTAGTGACATTCTTAAGATCCATCAAAGAATCTGGTTATCCAAATTTGACAATGATTTTTATTGATTATTATCATATATTATATATCATGATAATATATTGATATTAAACATTAATTGATTAATATTGTTTTTGATATTATGAAGTAATTAGGAGTCAGAAATCCATACCAATTTGTCACAAAACAACCAGAGAAGTACTGACTGTTGGACTGAATCATGGTATGCAATTTTAGTTCAGCTGAAAGATACAAGCTGCATTAGCCCTCCAGCCCGCTAGGTCAGAAATAATTTAAAAACAGAGGGAGAAAAAACAATCTATAGAATGTAAAAGAATTATAGTAGTTTACTTGAAACACTAAAGAAAGAGAATTTTTTTTAGTTAATGACTGGCATACGTATAGTACAGTATAATAAAATAGGCAAATAGAAATAAATTCTAACTAAAATGTGTAAAACTAAGACAAGTTTGTAGTCCTATAAAAGCCTTTTAATCTATAAGAAAGAGCAGAACCTAAAATCTGTTAAAACTATCTACAAGACTAAATCTATAAAACCTTTAAAGGGATTCAGTTCTCTTATTATATTGGAACTCACATTTATGCCACAATACTATAAAATATTGTGGATAATTATAAAATCTATTCCAGTGATATCTAATAATGATAAACACAACCCACAGATTTTACATTCTTGCAATTATATTTGAAACTCCATTCCCAAATAGAATCCCTCAAATAAAATCAATGTAATCCTTGCTTTCTCACTGAAGGCTTAAAATTCAGTTTGGTGAACAATACAATTCACTGCACAGAGAGAGAGAGAGAGAGAGAGAGAGAGAGAGAGAGAGAGAGAGAGAGAGAGAGAGAGAGAGAGAGAGAGAGAGGCACTCACAGTAACAAATACATCTATCTCCTGGCAAATTGCTTATAGTTTTCTTGTCCACACAATAGCAAATTAGGGATTTGCATCTGTAAGGATGGAGAATAAGAAGCCCAGTTTGCTATCTTTCCTAAAAGCTGCTCTCTGTTCCCCCATCTCCACCTAGTAACTAGGAGTTTCAAATGAATCACACAGACCTCTTCCTTTCCCACCATTCCCTACCTTTGAAAGAACACTGGGCAAAGAGCAACTACCATAAAATAAATATCTCACACAGTAAAAATATAGGGAGGAGGCAGAGACAATCCCTGTTACAACAAGCTCTATCTCTGCTCCCCACCTCATTTAAAAACAAAACCATTTCAGTGTATCATCCCTGTTTGGTTTTTTGGGGTTTATTTTCCTGGTTGCTTTTGCTTTACCCATCCTTGAGTCAGGTGGATGGGTAGACAAGATGGAGACTGGAGCAAGGAGAACGGTGCTGAAGTAGAAAAGTGAATAAGGAAAGAAAGGATGGAGTGAGGGAAGGTAAAAGCAGTGGAAGAGGGCAAAGATTGGATGAGAGACAGGAGTGGCCGGAGTAGAATGGGTAGAAAATGGGGCGGGGCACACATGCAATAAAAATTGAGAAGAAGGGGGCCTGAAATAGAAGGCAACAGCAGCAGCAGGAAAAAAAAATAGGGACAAATGGAAGTGAGCCAAATGAGAAAATATGAATCAACAGAGATGAGAAGGGGAACCAAGACTATCACTGGTATCAGTGAGATGGGCGGCATAAAAATGTAATAAATAAATAAATATAGTTCAGCAGAGGGAATTGCTTGTGTCTGTTGGCAGATACTCTAGGACAGGACATATAGTCAGGCTTAGAAGGATTATCCTGTCCCATGTTTGACTTACCCAATTTTGTTCTCTAGCCCAGGATGCAATTGGTTTAGGGAAGGGTAGAATGAGGTGGTGGCAGCAAAAATATAGGATAACATGGAGCAGATGGGAAAGAAAGGAGAAAGACAGAGGTCAGAGAAGTGGTTATGCCAGGTTGGGAAAAAAATGTCATGCTGTTGCTACTTTAGCAGAAGCTAAGGAAGGGGGTTAGGGAGCGGCATTGTTACAGAAACAAATAAGAACTAACGTAGTGCCACAATGAAGCAAAGTAATTGATAGTAGAAAATAATAGGTTGGTACTGCAACAAAGAGCCCATCATCTCAAAGATAGGAAGAATGGGAGATGGTCTGGGTTTAGGTGTCTGGAAAGGCTTAACATCCAATTCTGAAAATAGTTTAATGGCAGAGTCCACTGAAAAGAATATGCACCCAGAGACAAACCTCATAAACAATGTATCCTGTGCTAAAGGAAACAAGAATGTTATAAAAATATAGAATGAAGAAGTTTACTGGAACTCATCTGAGGTTCTACATCTGTTTTCCCCAAGACTAAAACTTGGCCAACCTGGTTGTGAGATGGCATGCAAGTTTGATTGTGTAATGGAATTAGTGTGAGCCGATTACTGATACTGCCTAAATGAATCTTTTACTACTTGATTTTGTGTTTAAAGTCTCAAATTACTATGGAACAAGAAGCCAAAACTCTGGTATTGATCTTGGAATACAGCTGTCCCAACCTCTTGCTATAGAAAGCAATGCAATTCCAGTGAGACCTCCTCAAATTCTTTAATGGCACTTTGGGAGGAGCAACATGCTATTAAAGAATAGCAAGAATGGTTCATGGACTCTGGGTGGCATCTTTCTGTATTAAATAATACTTGGACATTACTCATATTTTGAATCCCAGACTGAGTATCGACCTGAGTTACCCAACATTACCTTCATAACAAGCTTAGGAACTAATCTAGGTTCATTGGCTGGGTTCACATAGAACCTAAACTACAATGACTATATACATTGAACAAGTTGTATCCAAAGAAACAAATCACATTATGACTTCATGTGAGGCCTAGTTCACACAAATCGTGTGACTGGATTCCTGCAAAAAAGTGAAATCAGAAATTGCCCAGACCATTTATACTGTTGGGCATGTCATGCAAACCTAACAGACAGTGATTTACCCACACCCTCCAGTACAAACACTGTGTGGTTGTACAAGTTAATCCAGGACTTCCAAGCCAAAGTTGAAAGCCTTTTTGCCAGCTCACACTACTATAGTAATTAGCTAATTTAATGGGAGAGGGAATGGTGTAATTATGGGACTTTCCTTATGGCATGATAATGTGGGCTATCATGAGGAGCTCCTGTATGCTAGAATTTATCATCACTTACTTATTAAATGAGTGGGATCTTTTCCTTTTCTATGTATTTCATGTACAGTAAATAGAAAGGTATCTGATAGAGTTGTTAAATGCAGTGACTAAAGAATACATCTCACTGAGCCTTTGTTATGAATGAACCAAAATTGCTACACCCCTTCAGCGGAAAAAAGGAACTGAAGCATGCCATCCAGTATCTTTTCTCCATACCATCAATACATACTGTATTAGCATGCCCTATATGCCATAAAATGCTGTGATATAAGAAGATGAATGTTTAAAAAGCAAGCTTTCTATCTCACTCTTAATCTACTCTGAAAGCTCATTCACAATGTAACCTTTGAATGACTTCCTTCCTTAAAACATGTTTTGCAAAGGAAATTCTTACATGCCCAGTGCCTCTTCCTCTTTAACTTTTTGCTTTAGTTAACCTGGCTGGGTTCAGGCTGACTCATGTTCATAACAGGGAAGAAAGAGCCAACTGAACTTGAATTGTTCATAAAAGATTTAAAACAACTCAGTGCTGAGTCATGCCCAAGGTTAATGCTTGGCATATTATCATAGTACATGAAAATTCAATACAAAAGTCAGGCTTCAGATTAGATGAACACACATTTCTTCTCCACCCCTACCAAGAATGTGTCTTCATTAACTAATTTTAGATGCATTATTCTAAAAAGGTTTCTGCATGATACCTTCTGCGTTTTGACCATTTTGGACAGTCTTTCATATAATTTTCCTCCTACTCTACTATCTGGAGCATGTTTATATCCCCTCAAATATGCACACTAAAGAGATCACAGTAGGAGACAAATCCTACTTGTCTGTTAATGGAATGACATTTGCCAGTTGAACTTTCTTCCTCCCAGAACCTGATCTGGAAAGTTAAAGGATCCTATGGAAATATTTTTGGGTTTCTGGCTGAAGGCAAATGGAAAGAAGAGGAAAGTTCTACTACTTGAGTGAATATTAATCACCAAATATTGGGGGCATTTTGTCTTACTCGTTCTCTTCCACCATAATGTCCAAGCATTAATGTGAATTGAACATGGCAGGTTGATCCACACATTAGTTATTAAATCTGCTTATCAGTGCAGTCTTCCACATTGCTGGAAAATGATGTGTGACAATTGGGGAAAATTTGCTGACCACAACTATCACACTGTGCACACTTTCCATTGCTTCAAATTCCCATAGTGGATTCCCTCAATATATTTTGAAAACACAGAAGTTTTAGTTCTCCACAATTCAGAACATGCCTAATATTTAGCCCCAAAAGCATTTTCCTGAGCGTCACAGATTTCATGAAAACATTGAGGAGAACCAAGACAATCAGGAAAAATAGAAGAGAAACTCTGCCTTGATCTAAACATGAAAATGCATGGAAAATATACTTTTAAAAAAGACATTGATGTTTCAGATGTTTCAGAGCACCATTACTGATGATTTGCCTTCTTCTCAAGGTCTCTAATCATCTTCATTTATCTTAAACCTGTCACCGATTTTCACATTTCAATCCTTTCTCCTTGCCACCCAGGATAATCTTGAGTAAGAGATATTAAACCATCTCAGAGAGAAACCACTGCATTGAGAGCATTGCTCTCGGACATATTTATCTGCATGTATTTACTCCTTATAGAAAATACTTGCTGCCAAGCCTCAAATATGAAAGCTCTGAAGGCCTAATGATTAAGTGAAAGATTTCAATAAAACATTGCCCCAGGGGCTGATGTAGAATGTAATTACTGGGCTGGAAGAGGTCCTTCAGATTGAGCCCAGCTTCGCCTGCTCAATGTAAGAATGCAAAATATTAGCTTCCCAGACAAATGGTTGTCTAAACTTCTACTTGAAAACATCCAGTGAAGGTGTATCCATCATCTCTCTGGGTAATTGGTTTACCTGTCAGAATACTCTGTTAGGAATGGTTCCCCCCCCCCCCAACACTGAATCAGAATCTGTCTTCCACTAACTGAAATTCATTATTCTGTACAGTCTGGAATGAGGGAGAGCAGGTTTTGATCTTTTGCTATGATATCTTTTTTTCAAGTATTTGAAGAATGCTATTTTATCTCCCTTAGTTCAGGATTACATAAACCCATCTCCAATCTCTCTTCCCAAGTCTTAATTTTTACTTCCAATCACCTTTGTTACCCTTCATTTATCCTATTCCATTTTCTCTGTATTTCACAGGTATAGTCCCGAAAACCGAGGCAATAAAAAGTAGTTTTCTATTCTAAAACAGAATAGAGTAGAATGATTACTTGGAATGGAAATTTATACTTTGTGTGATGCAGTCAAAAAATTGAATTTTCTTCTCTTTGCAGGTCTCATATTCAGTTTGCACTCAAATGCAATATCTGCTTCTTCACTAATTCTTAGTTTCCCCCCCCCCTCCCAGCCCATTTCTATTGCTTTGGGATCAATTTATAATTGATCTAAGTTTATTCAAGTCCCTTTTTCTGAAGTCCATGTTGTGTGGACTACACTTGTAGTTTCCTTTAAAATTAAAAAGTACAGCATCGCATGGGTGCTTTCCTCCAATGTTCCTCCTACTTTCACTACCCAACTAATTGTTTTCTATTGATTAGATCAAAACAAGGACAGTTTATTCACTTTTCATCTTTTACTCTGTCAGGGAGAAGACAAAAGGCAAACTGAGTGGAAATACCATACTTAGCAGGGTTTGTTTTCCAACAGATGCCAGAGCAATTAAAGTTCCCTAGCATTACTAACTTCACCTCTCTCTGAACATTTTCTTTTGGAAGACATCGTCAACATTACCTTCTTGCTTGGCTAGATAGACATAAGAACAGTATTGCTTTTACTTCTTCTTCCATTCAGTTTAACCCAGCTGTTCTCTGCAGCACTGCCAAATTAACTCATCTGGCTTTATGAACCGAGATAAATATTTTTAACTTATGATGCAACACTACCTTTCTGTTGCTTCTGATCCCTTTGAACAAATGGTCAGTTCTGCTCACTAAACCAAAGCTATAAAACTGCATCAGGTCGATGATTTAACATGGCTAAGAGCCAAAAAGGAAGAAAACATACAACAAAAAGTGAATTAATGACAAAAGATTTTCCTGCCAGTTCTCTATGGCATTGGTAATATGGTATCTTTTATACCGCCTTCCACTTTATCATATGAAATTGGCTGACGCTGAGGAGTGTAATTGTGATTTAACAAAATTCACATTCATTTAAATATGGGTTTAAGCATTGCTCACGATCCCATAAAATCCCTTCCAGTCCTTAAGAATTCTGTGAAAACTATCAGTATTATAATTTTAAGTCATGTAAGGTAATTTATTTTATTTGATTTACAGTATATCCTCATGGCAACATTCCTTCTTTCGGTCTTTCCCATAAGAGAGAAATGATGTAGGCTGAGCTCAGAGTTGATGGCTAGATCAAAAAGTAGTCCTCAACCTACGACAACAATTGAGCCCAACATTTTCATTGCTAAGCAAGGCAGTCATTGAGTGAATTTTGTCCCATTTTATGACCTTGCCCGCCACAGTTTTTAAGTGAATCACTATAGAGTTGTTAATTTAGTAACATGGTTATTAAGTGAATCTGGCTTCCCTTTGAATTTGGTTGTTAGAAGGTCGCAAAAGGTGATCACGTGTCCCCAAGACATTGCAACCATCATAGATAAATGCAATTACATCCAAATTTTTGTCATGTGACCATGGGGAGGCTGCAATGATCATTAGGGTGAAAAACAGTTATCAGTCACTTTTTTCAATGTCATTGTAACTATACGGTATAAATTATAAACTGAATAAATTTTTGTAGGTTGAGAACTACCTGTAAGTAGAGAGTTTCCATAATGGAAAATGAATCTGAACAATACAAAATACAAAATTTGAATTTGTATTTCTATTCTTAGTCCAAGAACTTAATGTATATACCACACTACAGTGAAAGGCGATAGAAAGCTGAATTAGGTCTACAGAAAAGGTTATGCATTATTGGGTCACCTTCAAAAAATGATGGAAGGCATGGACATTTTTTTACCTGAAGCCATTTCTATTCCTCCCTTCTCATCTTACCTTTTTCTCCTTTTTCTCTTTTTTCTTTTTCTTATCCTTTTTGTCTCCATCTTTATGGTCTTTATGTTCTTTTCCTTTGTTCTTTTCATCCTTCTTGTCTTTGTCTTCTCTCCCAAATGCTAAGAAAGGCAATGAGATTTCAGAATATAGGGAAATCAGCTGGGACATTCACAGATCAGAAAAGTAGAGAACTAAGGGAATAATACATCACATGCCTTGATTTCCTAACAAGGACATTTTGAAATGGTGCCAGCCAGCATTTTCCTGCATATTATGTGTTGCAGTGCTGAACAGCTACTCAAGCTTCATAGGAAGGGTAGAGCTCAAGGGAAAACTTTGAGGACAGAAGAGCAACAACGACTGCTGATTTGGTAGATGTTTTTTTTTTTAAAAACTATTGCTTGTGGAAAACAGATTAGTGGCAATTGAAATGAAAACAAGATTATTCTTTTATCCAAGATTTCCAGTTAGGTCCAGCATTAGATAGTTGCATAAAATCATTATTTTGTTGCACAAGAATACTTTCTTCATATGCAATACAATCTCATGCATTAGAATAGCTTTATAGCATATGCGGAGATATTGTTTAAAGGGCCACTCCCTATTTCCATTGACTTACAAAAGGGAAATTTACACTACATTGGAGACTAGTCTAGGTGGAGCATATGGCATAGGCCATTCCTTCTTTCAACACCATTCTGTTTCCCCACCATTCCGAGAGGATTATGTCATTCTATCTACAAAGACACAGTCCTGAAACTGGTGTATGAAAGGCATTCAGTACCATTAACTATGTAGCTGAAATTATCTCAAAAGTCTTATCTTCTATAATGACTCCTATTCCAAAGGCTAAAGCTAGATAACCCTGCTTAATCATGCAAGAGGAGCAAGCAAGAACTTGGCCAATCTTGGCTAATCTACATTTAGTATGAAAGCAGCCTATGGCTTTATGGGTCAGGTTCTGAATATCTCTGATACCGCTTGCCCTGAGTAGAATATGCTCAGCTGGTAAGAAAGAGGGCTTGCTGAAGGTCCCAGTACTAAAGAAAGGCCACCTTTACGGTCCCTTGATCCTTCTCATTGGAATTATTTACTTCCTCGATATTCAATGGCCTCCCTCCAAGAAAGAGAGCAGAGAGCATAATAACATGGCTCTACAGAAAGGCATTCCATAGGTATGTAGATTGCCCTACTGCAAATTTATCTAAGTATTTGAAATATTTGTATAGCCGCTCATCTTGAAACAACTCTGGGTGGCTTACAACCGCTAAAACAATTAAACCAATATAAACAGTACATAGCCAATAGCAATAAAACTAAAACTGAAACATCCGGCACCATAACCACACTTCCCTGATGCACCCGTATTCTTATCCCACCCCAACCTTGCCCAATGCCTGAGGCAAGTGCCAGGTCTTAAGTGTTCTCCAAAAAGATGGAAAAATAAGGAGCTTTCAAATTGCAGTGAGGAGGGTGTTTTACAGATTAGGGACTGCAACAGAAAAGGCAAACTTCTGAAGACCCACAAAATGGCAAAGTTTAAGAGAAAGAACCTGGACCAAGTCCAACCTATCTATTCAGGTGGGATGGATAGATGTTCTAGGGAGAGGCGGTCCCAGAGATATCCTGGTCCCATGCCATATATAGCTTTAAACATAATAACCAGCACTTTGAATTGCACCCAGAAAGTAACTGGGAACCAGTGCAGGATAACCAGTGTATAATATGAGCAAACTTACAGATACCCAACACTGCCTACTGCTGCATTCAGAACCAACTGTAAATTCTGGGGCAGCCCCAGATAAGAACATGGCAATAATCCAAATGACAAGTGTCCACAGTGCACGGTTACTATGATCAAGGCTTCCCAGCCCAGGAAGGAAAGGACAAAATTGGTGCACAAGACAAATCTATACAAAGGCGCCTTAGCCATGATGGTTCATCAGATTGATTGGTTATTGTTGTATTAATTGGTTTAGGTTTTTAATCCTATTATATTAAACTTGTGAGACACTTAGCATTAATGGAGTGGCTTATAAGTGAAATGAATAAATAATATAAAAACTAAATTGTTAACTGGGACAAATTCCATTCTTCGTTTTGTTTTCCCGCAAGGACCTGGAATAGAAGCAAAAATAAACTAGTAGAACAGCAGTTAACCTGTTGTAAGAAGCAAATGACCAAAGGTGTAAGTCAAATGTAACCATATCTTCATCTCTAGCACCTTTTATTGGTTGATTGGTGGGTTGGGTTTGTGAATCTCATTACTTTTTATACTGAGGGTAAGGTTATTTCATATAGAATAGGTTACACCTCACTTTCTCTAAGAACCAATTCCAATGCTTACAAGTCTGTGTATTTTGAGATATGATAGCAACAAAAAATAAATTAAAAAAAGAAAAGAATAGGGTCTCAAAAAAGGTGCGGCAATGTATTCTTTATATATTTATGGGACTTTCTAAAGACATAAAAGACAACCTTATTTCATCCTTGAAATTTCTACAATCCTTCCTTGGGGAAGAAAAAAATGGATGCAATGATGGAAAAAACATAGGAAACTTATGAATCACTGGACAATAAAATCAGTGACTCAAAACTAAGGTGACTACTACTTAACCTTTACTACTATTACTCTATTATCTGTTAATTGCTGAAGTTCAGTGTAATGATTAAATTTGTTTTTTATCTGCAAAGAAATTACAGCATTCTGATAAAGGGACTAAGTTTCTATTCAAAGTAGTGTCTTTCACTAATGACTTAGGAAGAATGTTGAAACTAGATTGTCAGTAGAAAAACAGAGCTAGAACAAAATGGAACACAAAACTAAAATGAAGAAAAGAATTATCTTCTGAAAAAGACAGGAAAATAGGAGATGAGTTCCAAGTCAAAACTATGTGGGACTCCCAAGATTATGTGATAAATAGCTCAAGTGAGATAGGAAGGAATTGAGGAATTCAAATCTGAAAACTCCCACTGAATGCTATTTTTATTCTTTAGAAACATTAACAACTGTGTATTTTCAGAATGTCATATAGTAGTTACGCATAGCTATACAGAATGCAAGGCATGATAAAACAAAATAAATTCAATATCAATGCTAAGAAATAAAGGAGATATTTATTTACATCTTATATGACACAGACACCTACGGTGATTTGTTTTCTTTCCTTTTTCTAAATGAAAAAAAGGACCCTACCTTTTAAGATCGAAGACATTGTTCAGTAACAATACAGTTATTACAAAATATATAATTAATTCGTCAATGCTCCACACTATGTTTCTTAGGTCAGATCAGTATAAATTAAGTTGTATCTAAGCAGGACTGTAAGATTCCTAGGATAAAAGGAATAAAAATGGTTATGGACTTCTTTTTTGTCATTAGAAGACTAGATAAATAAACTATCAGATTTCCAAACCTCTATTTAAGAATCTGGTTTCACCAGTTTCCATTGGCTCATCCGTCTTCAGCCCGTAGCAAACAACACAGACAATTTGTACATATTCTCTATGCTTAGGTTCTTTATGCAGAAGTTTCAAATATGATAAATAGGTTTCTCTACGTGTGAGACCTTAATGGAAAGAGTTTGGTTTCTCATTCATCTTCCTTAATTCCAGGGCAAATAAACACACCCAGAGCTATTACAGATTTATAAACTGCATGAGTTCACAACCACCATTCATGCACCAAATAAAATTCGGCAAGCCCTAACATTAATTTCTCCTATGGGCTTGCTTACTTAAATAATTGCTTGCTCTCCTGAAAGTTGATTAAACATCAAAGCAAAATATCTTCAATCTGATTCATGCAGCACCCAGTCCCAGTCAAGACACAGCCTTCTAAAGCGCTTTCTAATCGTTCACAGAACAAATCGTTCACAGAAAAGAGATAAAGGTACAGTTATACAAGAAAGCCTTCTCACCTGGGGAAGTGGAAAGGGAAGCAAGCCCTTCAGTGCAGACTTGACTGAGAGAAATGTAGCTCCTGCTGTGGATATTCCTCCTCCCTTTTTATGATCTGGGAAAGAAGAAAAACTGGTTCCAGCCAGCACCAGGCTTATACACCCTACACAGAATGACTGGGCAGTATGTATACAGTTGCTCACACTAACTTCATTCTTAAATCCTGATTATTCCAGCCAGTTTTGATAGGCCTGGGTGTCAGACAGGTTGTCTTTATTTGACCAACTTGTTTCTCAAATGCTATTACATCCTATAATCTCACTGGATATAATTTAGTGTAGAATTTATGATGGAGCACAATATGTTGTCCAAGAACTTATCAAGTGCATTATACTAAAAATTGTCTAAATTATTTTAGCATCTAAGGAAAAACAATCCAGCAAATGCCTTTTCTGGGATAATATATAATAGTATCATTCATAATCATAACTTCAGTTATGATTGTCATGTTCCTCCATGACACCTAAAATCACATTTTATTTGCTTTCTATAATGTGACCAAAATAGTTTTCACTCAAAACTGAATATAGATTGGAGAAATAGTAGTATTTTCCCAAATGTCTCACTCACCATTCTACTTTTACTTTTCTTTTTGGCAAGAGATTTGACCAGAAAAGAAAGAAAATAATAGATTATTTGATTGGTTTAGTGATGAGATTATGTCAATCCGAGCAATCACTCAAAATGTCAGCAAGACTTAGCAAGTAAAACATTTCTACACACATATTTTGAAAGCAACTGATTTTGTAACTGAGATTTTTTCCAGAGATAAGAATTCCACTAAGCTGAGTCAGTACTGAAAAGGTGTTTTGAAGATGTCTAAAAGAGCATACACATGTGCAAAGTTACATACCACATTGAGAGCAGAGTAAATAATAGTCTATTTCTTACATAACTAAATGATTGATCATATTATATTCCAAATTTAGCTTTTGATTATTTTTAGTAGAAGTGTTTCATGTATGCTTCATACTATAAATAAAGAATAGTATAATAACTGAGAACCAGTCCACATTTATGCAAAATGATTGAGGTGAAAATAAAAGTATAAATAGGAAAAGCCCACTAAATGTTAGAATTAGGTTGTTTTCTGAGAATTTATCCATTTCCCAGAGTATCTATGAAGATTCTGAATCATCCAGGTCATGGTTGTCCCAAAGGTGCTTTGGACTTTTCTTTTTCTTTTTTTCCTTGAAAACATTTCGCTTCTTATCCAGGAAGCTTCTTCAGAACTGAGAAGTAAAATGAGAAGTGAAACATTTTCAAGAAAAAAACAAAGAAATTCCAGTTGCCTGTTGAAAAGCACCTTTGGGACACTTCCCAGAGCTGCTTTTCAACCAATTTTTTTTTAAAGAATTACAATCATGGTTCACAGTTGGTCTTCATTTTTAATATTAAAATTGACATATCCAACATACCAAAGATCACGTTTGAAAGGATTGTTGCCTATTTTCAGTCCTGGGCAAGTGTTGCCAGAAACCAAGATGGAGACTGATGATCATGTGTTTGAAGTGGGCAATTCATACCTCTTTTGCTCTTGCAATTATTGCTATAATAATTTATGCAACTGGCTTCTTCTGCTACATTTTGTTCTGCTTAGCCAAGTCTACTTCATAAACCCCATTTAATTATATTGTTTTTGAGCAGTTATTTGAACAAGAAGTGATAGACTTCTCTTTTCTTATTCCTTTGATATAGAATTATAACAAATTAAAAAAGACTTAAAGTTCATTCACTTCAATCTTTACTTGTGTTGCAACCACATGATCCCTAACAATTGGCTTAAAGTTGAGAAGGTTTCTTGGGCTTGTGAATGATTTCCTTAGATACAAAGTTGTTTTTTATTCTATATAATTGAAACTTGTTAATGTTATTTGCAGTAGCATAAAACTATGTGAGAGTTTAATTGTATGTCTCACTAATCTCATCCCTTTCTAAAATAATGCTATGGAAGATGATCAATAGGTTTTAAAGCAATGTTTTTGCATCTCTAAGAGATGTGTAGTTCAATTCCCAGAATTCCTCATCCAGCATGCTCCAAAGCCTTATACCATGGGAAAATAGTGCAGAACAAAAACAATATAGAGGAATAAAAATGGCAAAAAAGATTAAGCTAGACATAGGTATTGAAGACATACGCCAATTAAATTTAGTTAAATGTACTCAGCATTTAAAACATTTATATTTTCAAGTAAGCGTGCTTACTTGGGAGTGCATTTGGAACTGGATTCCAAAACCAAAAACAGGGAAGAGGGATGCATAAAAAGTCATTCCAGGTTTCTTTGTTTTCTATTTATTTACAATATTCTTATAAATCCAAACCTGTAGCCACTTTGTTTGAAGACTTCAACTTATGGCCTTTGTTTGTTCATTCACTTACAGTCCTATCAATCCAATACATTTCTAATTTTAATTTCATACTGTTTTTATGAATTGGAAGTACCATTTCTCTGTAGTCTATAACAAGACTACAATTCTATAGTCAAATGCAAAGTATTTCACAAAGTCCATGTCTCCTTTGAAAAGATCTAAAAATGAAACGAGGGCTGGGCAACTGTTGGAGAAAATATGCGATTGTTCCATTTGAACAGATTGCTATTCTCTTCAGGTAAAATAATATGGTAGAATGTGCATTTTTAATTTAAGCATCAATTTCACACAAGTAGAAAAACAAAATGCATGTATTCTGCCCAATATACTATATGTTCATCACATATGCTATCATTCCCACTATCTTGAAACAATGCAATTCCATACAATAAACAAGAAAATGTGTGAAAGCAGCACATGTCAGAAATATTGTTTTGTTGACCTGAATATGAGTAACTGTAGGTATTCAATGGTCAACGTATTTAATAAGCAGCCATTTCTTTATTACATCATAAGACATTTATTCTCTGTATACAATATAGTGCACATACATATTTAAAATAGATAAAATAGATTCTTTGCTAGAAATTAAACTATCTAAAAAGCCTAATTTATTTGTGAAGTTAAAGGGCATTTTTACTGGATTTGTATGTATGTATGTATATGTATCTATTTATATATATATATATATATATATATATATATATATATATATATATATATATATATATATATATATACATACATACACACACACACATACATATATACATATACATACATACACACAGAGACACATGTATACACATACACACATGTATCTACATGCATATAGTGCATTGTTCCAACATTTCTTACTAGTGCTGTAATATGGTAATAAAGTAATTTAGTAACTGTAAAGACCATCAAGCAATGAGACAGAAACTCAAAACTGCAGTTAAAACAAAGACATGCTAACAAAGGCAAAAGCAAGAACATTTACTTAAGTAAAACAAGTTGCAATTCATTTTTTTTCCTTTGCTGAAGTGATATTTGAGTCACTATGATCACAGCAAGCTGCTTGTTCAAAACATAAAAGCTAGTAGACTTTCCCTGAGCCGAAATAGGATTCTAGGAAAGAACAAATTAATAAACATATAAATTATGGAACAAGACATAATTGTGCAAAGTAACAATTGGACAAAAAAGATAAGAAAAAAATTGTATTCTAAAGTCTTTGGAGTTATGATATTAAGAATTAAGTCACAATTTTTGGAATTCAGGCAAATTTCCCAGAACCCTAAAAAATTATTTTCAAAGAATTATCCAGAGTCATGAAATGGGGCTAAAGGGAAAACAAAATGCTGCATCTAATTGTAAGCTTCCCTTGATAGCTTCATTTTATTTATTTATAAAATGTATAGGCCGCCCATCTTACCTCAAGGCATTTATCAAAAGCCTTACTTTTCTTCAAATGGAGTCAATTCCTTCTTGGCTCCTTTTTAATTACTGCTAAGGAAGTAGGACACTGAAAATCTATTGACTAAGTGAGGTCTAGCAAAATGTGTTTATTTAAACATCAAATGCTATTACATAAAAGTGTTTCTTTTTTAAAAAAAAATACCAAATTTATCTGTAAACTAGCACTAATAGAGTATACATCAATAAAAGGTCAGATCATTAAGTTGTCTAAAAACTTTTCACACCTGAAGCATAATCATGCTTACTGGGCAGCAAGTCGAGATATATAAATGGCCCTTTTTCTCCTTTCAAATAACACATAGAACTGCAATCTTAGCAGGTTTTTTAAAGTCTTTTTTCCTTTGGGATCTCCAGATCTTAGAGTAGACAACTGAAAAATCACTCACATGCTTTAAAACAAATCTTATTTTCTCAATGTCTCTTTGGAGTGCTAGGCATTTAACTTAAAACAGCATTTCAATGTGAGTATAATGCAATTTGCAGCAGTTACGGACTCCAATAATCTCAGGTCTCAAGCCAAGAACATTGTTGTGCTATGCATCCTTTGCACTATGAGTCTTTCCTTCATAATGCTTTTATCTCAAGGAGCATAATACAGAGGGTCTAAGGAGCAGAAGCAGATAGAACATTATCCAGCAAAATGACAAAGACAAATTGCATAACAAACTTCCTATGCTGTCTACAGATCATCCTGTCTATCTATATAGGTGGTTGCATCATGGCCCTTCAGCATCTTATTCTGGACAGTGGAAAACTACAAGTCAACACATCTGTCTTAATTTATAGTAAGATGCTTTCATCTTCTTGTGGAACAAGGGAACTTCCACTCAGGTCCCTTGGAAGTGATGTTCCAGTTTACTCAGACTTGATTTATTGTTGAGATAACTCTGTCCGAGTCTGGATATGCGAGATCTGCAGCACGGGCAAAAGTAGTTGAAAGGCATCTTGGATATAAGAGGCACTGTTGGAAGCCTGTAAGAGAATGAAAAGCTAGTCAAATGAATAAAGAACATCCATCCATTCTAAAGATCAGAATTTGTTTGGCATCTGTCTCTAATTAATTGCTTTAGTAAAATAAATAATGAAGCATAGGTATATAAGTAATATGATTGGGACCTGGGCATATTACATGAACAAATTGTTTCATATTCACTTAAAGCCATCCCTGTTTTTTTAAACCCTTTTTACATTATATCAGTTTTGTTCTAATCTATGGGAATTATTACATCATTTTGTCAGTTGGATGGAGATGGAGAAATGGAATATTAATCTTCATTGTTATATATTTAGTCTGTATAAGGTTAGGCTATGAAGATAAGGTTGTGTTTTGAAGCCCTAATCAAGGCCCTTTGCATAAAATCTCTACATTGCTCATAATCCTTAGTATCTAAGAAAGGAAATCATGTGACACTATCACATTTTAATAGGAATATGCAAAGTGTTTCAACTCTGAACTGCCATTTTGAATGTTTGAGCAAAAAGTCAGGTCACATGTTCCAAGACATTTATCTGAGTTCAAAATAAAATTGGATTGTTTTAAGCAGCAAAAACTAACTGTTTGATCACAGAAGAGAATTCTGAAGTGGACCATTCTAACCCAAACTGTGTTATAAGCTGAAAACAAAGTGTGATGTTTCAAATGTTTTATTTCTTCAACTTGTTCATCCGAACTTGGATAGGATTATTTTGTCCTGAGCAAAACAACATCCCGAAACATTTACCATTTTATGTACGCTCCTTTTCTCTGCATGATAAAAGTTCAGAAACAGTTACTGTGAACTAAATACAGGAAGTCCTCAACTTACAGCTTTTTGTTTAGTGACCATATGAAGTTACACTGAAAAAACATATTTATGACCAGTTTTTACACTTACAACCGTTGCAGCATTCCCATGGTCACATGATCAACATTTCGGTGCTTGGCAACTGCCATGTATTTATGACAGTTGCAGTGTCCCAGGATCATGTGATCACCATTTGTAACCTTTCCAGCTGGCTTCCAGCAAGCAAAGTAAATGAGAGAAGCCAATTTGCTTAACAACTGTGGCAAAAAAGGTCATAAAATGTGATACAACTTACTTAACAAGTCTTGCTTAGCAACAGAAATTTTGGGTTTAATTGTGGCCGTTAAGTCAAGGAATTCCTGTACTAGTTTCACAGCTATGTCAGGCCAGATATTATAATAATAATAATAACAACAACAACAACAAAAATAAAAATAATAAAAATAAAAATTAAAGTTGGAAGGGACCTTGGAGGTCATCTAGTCCAACCCCCTGCTCAGGCAGGAAACCCTATACCATTTCGGACAAATGGCTGTCCAGTCTCTTCTTAAAAACTTCCAGTGTTGGAGCATTCACCGCTTCTGAAGGCAGGTTGTTCCACTGGTTAATTGTTCTAACTGTCAGGAAGTTTCTCCTTAGTTCTAGGTTGCTTCTCTCCTTGATTAGCTTCCATCCGTTGCTTCTTGTCCTCCCTTCAGGCGCCTTGGAGAATAGCTTAACTCCCTCATCTTTGTGGCAGCCCCTGAGATATTGGAACACTGCTATCATGTCCCCCCTCATCCTTCTCTTCATTAAACTAGACATACCCAATTCCAGCAACCATTCCTTATATGTTTTAGCCTCCAGTGTAAATTTCTCACAAGCATTTGTATATGTAACTCACCTCCAAAAACACTCCTGTGATTAAAGGATTGAGCACATCAGCCTTCTCTTCCACCTGAAAAGATTGGATATATTAAGTTGCACTTGAAAACCAAGCCAAAAAAAGAAAAATCTTGAAGAGAATACAGGCTAGATATCTAAAACTAAATCAAAACCTTTGATTTTTAATCAGTTAATAATCTATTCCCCATGCTACTGAAATGAATATGTGCAGTATTGAGAGCCAAGATGGAAATGATGCTAAATATCTGGCATGGATCCTCTCACACTAGAGTAATGTGAGCATCTAAAGCAAAATAGAGGAAACTACTGATATGAAGAAACCTATGAAAAAAAAATTCAGCCTTAGTAACCTTTTCTGATTTATCTGGAAAAAAAATCCTTTAAAAATGATAAACTCTAACATCTTACTAATAAAGCGAAGTAGAAATAGCAGGACACCTTTCTTTAAAATAGCATAAAACAAAAACAGCAATATGTGTCCTGCAGGCTGATTCTTTCTACTTTGTCATGACAAGCTTTTCATCACTAGACATCATACAGCATCTTACCCCCGCAGCTGTTAAGCATGTCGCAAATTCTTTAGAGAGGGATGACAATTCTTTGCACAGCATAATGGTCATTCTAAAAAAGAACAATACATCATAAACTATGTCTTTATCTTTTTATTTTTTATTTTACCATGTAGAAGACTAAGGATGATCTACAAGCTTTCCGTCAGCTTTCCTCCCTAATTTGCAACTAGTATGCCTGGGAACCTACTAGATGTATGCTCTGATTTTGCCATAATGAGCTGATTTGAAAAATACATGAATAGAAAATCAAGAGCTTCTAAAGCTGGTTCTTGGTGGTTTGAAGGGATATGAAAACACAGATGCCAATTAACTTGCAAATATTTTCTTTAGCTCTGTATGTAAAAAAAAAAAAAAGGAAAAAAGGCAGTGAGGAGAGGTTTAGCTTCTAATTACAGTAAATTCTTTTAGCAGGGTTATCAAATTGATATACCATATTTTCCGGCGTATAAGACAACTTTCTAAAGCATGCAAATCGTCTCCAAAGTTGGGGGTTGTCTTATACGCCAGAAATTACTGTAGTTTCCAGCATATAAGGTGACTTTCTAAGCATGCAAATCGGCTCCGAAGTCGGGGGTCGTCTTATACGCCGAATCGTCTTATACGCCGGAAAATACAGTACTTTCTGGGAGAAATGTTGAAAAAAGGATGGTGCAAGATTGCTGCAATATTTAGTGCTCTTTGAGAATCCTTTGTGCTCTCTGAGCTTGGTTGTTTTCTTGTAGACATTTCATTACCCCAAAGAGGTAACATCATCAATGTTAGTCAGTGCACTAGAACTGATGATGCTACCTAGTTTGGATAATGAAATGTCTGCAAGAAAACAATCAAGCTCAGAGAGCACCAAGGACCCCTCATTTCAACCGTGAGCTACAAATATTCTTCTTTATCTATTAGTGTTCTTTATTACTTCTTTTTCCTGGAACTAAGAATTAAACAAAAAAATACTGACGCCAGTGAGATCTGGGAGAGCATAGCACTGAGTGCTTCCTTGAAAGCTGCTCACCCATTCTGGTATTGGGCAAAATTATAAATACTTTATATTGCTGTTTATTCTGCACTTAAACTCCACACCTATTTAGTAGCTTTCCAACAAAAAATCATCTTGATATCTACTAATTTCATACATTGCAGACAAAAAAAAATCAAAGGAACATAAATATCTTTCTGGGATAAATAATTTTTAAATATGTTGTTTTACAGAACTACCTGAATCAATTCACTTAAAACGTGTCAGATTTCCAGGTAGTTGAGGTACATATCCACAAGTAACCAATTCTGTCAAGCAGAAAATTATATATAGTTTAACCACATATCTCATTTAGTGATAACCTCAGTGACCATTCACAAATATGACAGTAATAAGTGGTAATTAAAAATTCATTTTCTGACCAATGCACGTTATTTAGGACATTTTGTGCATCTGACAACAAAAGTATTCAGTGTGAAACTTATTTAAGTTCTGGTCAGTTTCATCAATGGGCCACAGCAGGGGTCCCCAACTTCCATTCCATGGACTGGCACTAGTCTGCAGCATGTCAGAAACCGGTCTGCACAAACAAGTGAAGCCCCATCTGCGGGATGTAGGCAGCACACGAAATCACATCCCCTCCGGTCCGCAGAAAAACCTCTCTCCAGGGAACTGGTCCCTGGTGCCCAAAAGGTTGGGAGTCGCTGGGCCAGAGGGTCCTAATCAACTAATTAAGGGCATGGAGCTGTGCTTGTTAATTTGGGTTAGCCGCTTTCAAGGAAGCACTGAGCTCTGAAGAAAAGTAGCTCAGGAAGAGGACATTGTACAAGATAACTTTATCTGAATCAGACAGCAGCAACCAGTGATACTCGCATCTCTCTCTTGTGTTCATTTAGCAACCATTTCACTTAATGACCATTGGAATGGAACACTAATCAATAAATGAGGAGAGGATGTACTCATTTCTCAGTGATAGATGGTAAGACATGGAGACCTTGATTGCCATTATCAAAATTTTAGATTCAGATTTAGACTAGAACTGGGCACTCTCTGATTGTTAGAGATAAATCAGGCTGTTTTCCAGTTTGACCTCTGTTCTATATGCCCCTTCCTCATCTCATTCATCCATTATTTTGACCACTTCCATTACTAAAGAGAAATATGAAGGCTCAACTGAAGGAAAACATTCAAACTGAGTGTAACTCTGTAACCTCTTGGAGCCACAAGCAAGCAGAAGGCCTATAAACATGGTAGTAAGAACAATTTCTACAGGAAGTACTGGAGCTCTTATAAGCCTGCGATTTTCCATGGCATTGTGTTATACTAGACATGGACATACAGAAGTAAAGAATTGTGTAGGAGATTCTTTGGGCTTTTACTCCAGGGCCCTAAACAAGAATGATAAGCAGGAACCAGGTAAATGTTAATCTTTTTCCATTTTTGAGAAGAAGGGAAAGAAATAGAGAAGACAGGAGTGATTAATCTTACTGGGAAAGGCTTTTAGCTCTATTTATAGCCAACACATCTTCTTTTTGCCCATGAAGAACCAATGCTGCAGTTTTGTGGAATATTTCAATGGAATAAGCGGTCAACTCAGCCAGGCTTCTGATTGCAACCATGTGGATATCCTGCAAAATTAGAAAATAATGTTATTCTATTTTCTTTAAAAGAGGAAGTCATGACATTAGTTTCACATCCAATTCACCTGACAAAGACTACATGCAGAGATCATAGCTTAAGAATGAAGGGATATGATGATAGCTGTTAGATGGATGTATCCATTTAAACTGTACTGCAATGTTCTTTTGATTAAAATTATTACCTCCACCGACTTTTTATTCTCTTGTTCAGTATCTCCTGAGCCCACTTCCTGGTCTCCTTCATGCTTTTCTGCTTCTTTGACCACTTGCATGTCGAGGTTTTTAACTAATTCATGAGCAGAGGTCCTTGCCTGCCCAAGAGAAAAAAAAAAAAAGATACATTAACATATTGCTGATCAGGAGAATGCCCCTATCCAGGCTCCACAGAGAAAAGAGAAAAGATCCCAATCCATAATTATTCCCATATAATAGTGATAACAAAATGCCAAAGGCCTGCTACGTGGCAAGGAAATTAATTTCTTTAAAGAGATATATTATTTTCTTACAGAGACATGGGGAATGTTTAGCCTTCCAGATGTAGCTGAATTACCAGCATCTGCCAGCCAATGTGATCAATGACAACAGATGCCAGAGAGAACAATATCTATAAGGCTTCATGCTCTCAGTTTGCAGCAAAATATCAAGCGAACGTCATGTCCAGGAGGAGAGTGCAAATAGTGTATCTCCACCACAACACCTCTTCCTATAAGTAAGTGGTCATTCTTCATTGATTACATGAATTGCTCCCTGCCTTCCCAACTCTAGCCACTGAAAATCAAAACTGCTTCTATCTGTACAATGCCAGTATGGTTTTTCAATCATACTGGTATAGAACGAAGGGTTGGAAAATAGCATAATATTGAAGTCTGTAATCTTCCCCATTCAAAACTGAAACAGCTCACTCTCATTTTCCTTTCTTCTTCTTTGTTGGAGGAAGCAGTGCAATGGGTTAATATATAATATATAAATATAAGCCAGTGTTTGGGTTAACATAGAAGATATAATTTTATTCTTGTGGCCTGGGAAACTCCATTCACCCATCCCACCCAACCCAAGATGATTCATACATCTAAAAGTTCATATGAGCATGTAATCTCATGTATAAAGTATGTACAAGATAACTATAAAAATATGTATGTGTAAGATAAACTTTCCAAACCAGAGGAGTACACCAGATTTTTTTAAAAAAAAAAATCAGACAAATAACAATGAATAGTTTGTCATTCTCTCCTGGAAAACAGTGCCACTTACTGTTTCTACACATTACTACAAGGAAATGTGTCTTTTATCTTTGAAATATGACTGGAAATAGTGTAGGTTTGAAGAATTTTAAGATTGAATAAAATCTGGTCATCTGGAGTTCTGCCATTTGAAATATTCCAACTGTTCCAAGCACCAAAACTGGACTTCTGTTTTGTGCTTGAGGTGGCAGATGCATGAACTACCAGTCCCCCTTTTTCCTCTGACCCTCTTGTAAAACACAAGAGAGCAGAAGCCGGCCCTCAGATCCATTGTTTCCTATGGGTGAAGTCAAAGTATTTCAGGGTGGTTTTTTTTAGAACACTTGATCAATTCTGACTCGTATTGCAGGATAGAATAGAGTAGAATATTCATATGAAAGTTCAGGTTCAGCTGTTTTGTTTGAAATTCAAAACAAAATGTATTTTCTGTTTCATTCTACTTCTATTAACCTATCACCTTAAAGAAAAATACTTCAATTATTGCCTTAAGCTACTCTTTAAACTTTACATATAAAACATAAAAGATAACAAGCCAATACCCAGAAATTAGGTTTAGTTAGCTTAAATTCTGGCTATTTAAAAAAGCTGCAACAATATGGACCACTAACAGAGTCAGCTTGAAGGATTTATTTATTTATTAGGCTTGTTTGCCACCTATTCCGCCTAGAAGTGGACCAAGATGCACATTGTTGAAAAGCACTTCTAATGTGTAATAGCCTAAATTATAAAATTCCTTCAGTTGCTATTATATATCATTAATTATTAATCAATGTAATTTAAATGAATTAAAATAAAAATGAATTAGATAAAAATTAATTTAAAGTTAGTCTAATTACTACAAGCTACTACAAATTTCAAAAGACAAATTACTTCCAGACCAGGTCTATGCATGATCTTAAAAGCCAAAAACAAATTATTCACTCACTTGGAGCAATTTAGCTGGTTTTAGAGAGATGCACAGCTGTGAAAAGAGTAGGCCCACTTCATTTGTGAAATCTTCGTCTTCTAAAAACAACAGGAAATAGATTGTGTATTTTCAATAAAATTACATATAGGTTTGTTTGTTGTTTTTCATTACCCAGGTGGGGTACATCTCTGTTTCAGAACATGAGCACACTTTTTCATAATCCTTGTGAACGAAAGATAGGGGTCTCTAGATATTTTCTAAAGGTAATACCGTGTTTCCCTGAAAGTAAGGCCTACCCCAAAAATAAGCCCTAGCTTGATTTTGGGACTGGGAGTAATATAAGCCCTACCCTCAAAATAAGCCCTAGTTTTGGAGTAAAGCACATGCCTAAAACTCAAGCTAGGGCAGGGGTGGGGGGGGAGCTGCCCCATGTGCCCTGCACCCACTTACCATTGCAGACCGCCTGTCCTCGCCAACCCAGTTCTTCTGCTTCATCACCTGGCCTGCATTTCACAGTCAGAGGCCTTTCCAGAAAGGCCTCTGTCGGCAAAAAGCAGGCCGGAGCTCCATTCTCAGCTGCAGAGGCATTTCTTCGGCTGCAGAACTGGGCCGGTTGGGCGAAGCTGTCAGTTAAGTGGAAAAGACACCTCCCAAAAATAAGACCTGGTGCCTCTTTTGAAGCCCCCCCAAATAAGACCAGGTTTTATTTTGGAAGAAACACGGTAAGTACATGTCAACAGCTATGCAACCAACACAATACTAGCAACATAATGGAACAAACATGAATGCTTTTTGTTTTCTTCTTTTTCACATATAAGTTGTCTGATTCACAGACACAGGAGCCATTGTAAGTCTCCTCCCTAAGGTTCCAATCAGCCACTATGACCCCCATGTTCTTCTCTACATTATTTATTTATTTATTTATTTACTTAAGGAAGTCCCATGCTGTCAGTTGGTTGTTCATTTAAATTTTCAGATAATTATCTACTACTCAGAAGAACAGAGCATCAAAATACAGGCAGTCCTCAACTTACAACTATTCATTTAGTGACCATTTACAATTACAGCAGCACTGAACAAAGTGACTTATGACTGTTTTTCACACAACCATTACAGCATTCCCAGTCACGTGATAAAAACGTGGATGCCTGGCAACTGGCATGTATTTATGACAGTTGCAGTGTCATGGGATCACATTTGCGACCTTCTGACAAATTCAATTAAGTAAGCTAGATTCACTTAACAACCGGGTTACTAACTTGCAGTGATTCACTTAACAACTATGGCAAGAAAGGTCTTGCTTAGCAACAGAAATTTTGGGCTCCACTATGGTCATTAAGTCGAAAGCTACTTGTATATGGTAGCTTTTAGTATCTATTATTTATTTCAGTTGATTAATGAAAAGCTAGAGCCTCTAAAATATAAGCATCAATGACTGAATGCTACAGAATATTAGAAAGCCACCTCACTCAGTTCACTTTATATACTATTGCACAGCCGGCATTCAAGTGTTGGATCTGCATAATTACCTCCTTTTTCTTCATCATCATCTTCATCATCATCAAATTCAGCTAATGAAAATGCTTCTTTCAGCTTTTCCAGCTCTTCCTTTAAAGTAGCAAACTCCTCACCAGAAAGGGTACTTATAATAGATTTCACCTGTTTGAAAAGGTATTGTAGATCTGGTAGTTTCATATCCGATATGAGAAATACAGAAGCAGTATTACAAAATAGACTGAGTAATTGAAAATGTTTTTTGGAAAATGGTAGCAAAAAGCAAAGTGTTTCCATATCATACAATGGAATTGATTTTCTTTGGACTATCCCAGTCAGATAACACGTGGGAATAACAAACCCTTTTATGCCTCTTACTTAAAAACACATTACCTAAAGCAGAGAGAAGGAATAGGTGACAACAGAAAGTCTTTTCTCCTGCTTTGATTGGCTTTTATTTACTGGTGCTGCAAAGAATCTGTAACTGGATTTATCTCCCAGAGTTTATATAGATCTCTACTCTTATTCCTCCTCAATTGCAAAAAAAAATATCGCTTAAGGTCATTTACCTTTGATTCACTCTCTCTGGAAAGCATCTCTAAAGCTTCCAAATGAGAAAGCCCCTGAAACTCATCAAAAAGCAATCCATAATGTGCTTTCTTCTCTGTTGTCATGGAAACCTCAGCAGCTGTCCTCTGTTGTTCTCTTTCCTTGGCCTCTCGCAAGACCTACAAATAAAGAAGCTGAAGTGTGACAACAACACCATTAAAAAAGCATGGAGAAAAGGTTGCCAGCTATAAATTTGGTGCTAGGCCGTGAACTATTCTGTTGATTGATAATTTGTTAATAAGAGGATCAGAAATAAATCACTCCCAGATGTCATGTGGGAAACCCATACCTGAGATAGTGTGGAATTTCTGTTCATCAAGCCTTTTGTTTTCTTAAATCCAGGGTCACCTTCAGCTATCACATCCATAGTCTTTTTACCAATGTATTCCAATGCATCCAAACTTCCAGTTATAACTGTTTTCCCCTAAAAAAAGATAGATTTGCACTTTTGAAAGAAGGAAAATATTTTATGATAGAGATATACGGTAAAGGCAATTTGAACTTCTGGAAGCCAAATGTTCAAAATACAGGATTGATTTATATAATTTTCCTTAGGAAACAAGATAGCAAAGTGGGACACAAATAAATAGTGAAAATGTGTTGACAGAAAGTAAGAATTTCCAAAGTATGTATTTATAACCCTTGAACTGGCTACATTAAAAAAAAGGGCTCATCTACAAGTGTATACCAACACTCAGTTTTAGTCTGCCTCATTTCAGATCAGTGTAGCAAAGAACACCAAATCTTGGGTTTCCTCACTGTGTGGATTATTGCAATGCATTCTGGGGCTTGAAGACTATCATGAAACTTCAGCTGCACAACAGTCTTCTATACAGCATAGGGCCTTGTAATTTGAAGGGTCATCTCTCAACGTTTCTTCCCATCCTGTAATATCAGCCAGAGTTGTCTTTTTCAGATCCCACCCATTAAACCAGGGGTCTCCAACCCCTGGTCCATGGACTGGAACCAGGCCACGGCATGCCAGCAACCGATCCACACAAATAAGCAAAGCCCCATCCGTGGATTGCAGGCAGTACACAAAACCACACACTCTCTGGTCTGTGGAAAAACCTTTCTCTACAGAACCGGTCCTAGTGCCCAAAAGGTTGGGGACCTTTGCATTAAACAATGCAATCTGATGGGCTCCACTACATTGGATCTACCTATCACCAGAACAGCATTCTCTCAGAGATTCAAATGGAAACAACCCTGCTTTCTTTAAAATGAGTCTCCGAGGAACTATCTTATTTCTCAGGTTTGAGCTAGGATGGGTCGTCGACTGCTTTTGTAAAAGATTCTTGGTTCCCCCCCCCCACTGTATTCTGACCTTGCATTATTTCTTTGGTTTTCAACTTGTATGCTACTCAGACCCACTGAGAAGGGGCGGGGTTAAAAATACAATAAATAAGTGGGCTACTTTTAATAAGCCTTTTATCCCATTCTGTATTTTAATGATTTAGGATTATTACTTCTTCAGTATATCTTGACATTTTAAATTAAGATATATTTTGCTTCATGAGAATTTCTGTTCAGAAAACCAAGTTATAAAACAACTCAATATGAAATTATAATAACATTCAAATACTAGTGCTTTATAAATACATTACATCTTTATCCCAAACCAAGTTGTAAATTTCAACAACATGACTAATTGTTAGGTTTATATATCCTTTTCACTCTGGTCCAATTAAATCCCAAATGTCAACTGAAGAATTGGCTAAAGTTCAAATGCCCAAGATTAGTCTAATTTTTTATGATAGGAAAACGCTTGTAATTCAAGACTTCTAAACAGGGCACAAATAACTTACTGGCAATAAACAAAGCAATTATTAAAGATTGCAAATGGTAAAAAACTTCATCCCTGATTGACAATGTAATGAACCTTCACAGAGCCAGGGAGAAGGTTGGAGAAAGAATTCAGAGATTGTCAGGAAAGCACCAGGTGCAGAAGGAATGTGTGCTAAATCCAGCCAGGTGGGAGAATGTTACAAAGAGATTCAGAACTAGTCTGCATCCTCAACTCTCTGGGATGTAAGAGGGGAGGAAGGAAAAACACAGGCAGACATGCAAGGTCCTTATTATTATAGCCAATCTCAATAATATAGTGTCCTAGTCTTCAATGGTCTACTTTAAAGGGCTTGATCTGGTCTACTTTAAAGGGCTGATAACTGAGGACACAGCAATATCAAACCAAGACAAATATTAACATGACTCTTTTAGTTTCACTCACTGTGCTCTGAACAGCAGAAGAAATGGTAGAAAACATTCCAAAAGCACCACTGAGAGGTGACGGATTTTCAGTCTCTTTCTTGTCATCACTTACTTCTTCAGAGCTGTGGTTTTCTAAAACAAAAAAACATTCATTGAAGGATCAAAACTGCCCTTGGATATTTCAAAGTATCCTAAGTCCTCCGTGGACAATATGAAATTAAGACAGCAATTCTCTGAACCTAACCAATACTCCTCCGGTCAGTTATAAACATCCATATCTATCTAGACTGATAACAAAAACTAAAACCCTGCCATCTTCATACTGCACAAAAGCAAAGGTTTATCCTAACGCAGGCATAAATTTTATATCCTGAACAAAGTACTGTAATACAAAGATTGCAGGTGCTTTTCCTCTAGGATATACAGGTTTCTAAGATACCAGCAATACCAATATTTCTAAGTCATGTTATTTGGCAGTTAATATGACAGCCTGATGCTCAGCTTGTCTGCTATAGAATACAGATTACTTCAAAGGTAACAAAGGTTATTATATATAAAATATTTTATGTGCTAAGATAAGAGCTGACCTTTCATTGCATCTCTGGCATTAGATGGTAAATCACTAGGGTTGGGGATCCCTAGGGACGTTTCTGCTTTTTCAATGACATTTGAGATTCCATGACCTACAGAGAAAGAAAAGAAATAATGTTAACCCTGAGGAAAAAATATGATGAATTTCCCAAGCAAGCAAAATAAAAATCAATAGGGTGCAAATAACTTTGGGAGGGGGGGAGGGCAGAATGTATTCTATTAACAATCTTAGACCAGTACAAGGAATGTGTTTATGAGGGATCTGTTGGCACCAACAACAGTGCTAAATAAAATTTGAGACAAAATTAAAATATAGTATATTGTGAAATTAAAACATCCTGACTAGGACCCATAAATAAGAGCCAAAAGGAACAATCAATGTCTGGGCTATAAATGAGTACCTAAGATTACATAAAATATAACATGTAAAATTACAATATGATTTATAAAATTTACATGGAATGCAAAAATTCCTGAAGTTACATAAAATCTAAAATTACATAAAATACTTCTGTGGAGCACGAGCTTGGCCTATCAAGATGCTGCATATCTTCTATGCTTCCACCCAAACTTAGCCATACTCATTGCAATAAATGGCAGCTCATCTCGACGTAGGCCAAGTCAGAGCAATCAGGATCACTAAGCAGAGGAAGAATAAATCTAGTTTGAATGCCTCTACAAAAGGAGTAACAAAGAAGAACATGTTCTGTGGTTTTCTGAACCACTGCTGCACTATTTTATATTTGACATCCAACACTGCAAAGGGAAGAGCAGGACAAGAGACACATTTCCTATGGCTATGTGACAATCCATCTATTGAGGCATCTATTTTTTTTAACAAAATTTTATTAAGTTTATATAGGTGAGGAAAAATAGGAACAATACAGGTATGGTAAAAGGAGGGGTAGAAGGAAAGGGGAAGAAAATAAGGAATTAGGGTAAAATAAGGATAGGTACAATCACATATTTCAACAAACAAGCAACCGTCTGGATCATAATAATGAGTAAATATCATATTCAACCATTTTTAATAAAGCTTAGACTGTAACATATTAAAAACAATTAGTAAACAAATACGTTGATCTATTAAGTAAACATTACTAATAAAATCTCCAAAAAACAAAAAAAATCCTAACAATCAAAAGTAACAAATGAAAATCAGTAAATCAGGAAAAGTAATCATATCATCAAAATGTTAGTTAGAACTCGATTAAAAATCAGTCATCTATTCTAAAATATTGAGGCATCTATTGATGACAGGAAAGTTGGAGCCCTTAGATCTGCCTGTATTCTCCAAGCAAGCAAAATAAAAGTCAATAGGCTGCATTCTACTGTTTTGCTCAGTCTAGCCACTAGTGACTAGCTTAATCTCAATTTTATATATTTTTTTTTATATTTTCAATTAGAAATAACATATAAACCTTTAAGTCACAGGGGTTCTCAACCTTGGCAACTTTAAGACTTGTGGACTTCAACTCCCAGAATTCTGGGAGTTGAAGTCCACAAGTCTTAAAGTTGCCAAGGTTGAGAACCCCTGCTTTAAGACCTTGTAAAGGCTATGTGGGTTTGAATTGAGGGATACATACTCAAAATGTATCAGATAACAAAACACATTAATTACATATTTTACAGATGTTTTTAATTACACAAATAACCTTAAAGGAAACCACATGACAGCAGTTCTTAAACTCTACACACTCCTAAAAACAAAGAATATTGTGAACAGCTAAGTCACATTAGATACAATTACTCTTCCTATTTTTGATCCTGCACACACATGTGAACCTATGAGTACAAATTTCTTTGTCCAAGTTAGCCTATAGTAGCAGTTCCAAATGTTTCTGACCATGGTGATGCTCAAAAGACCAAGATATATTTACTCCTATATAAAGACATGTTTAAAAAAAACATATTTTGAGCTTGCTCTATATTCTTCTTTACTTTTTATAAGGTATTTTGTGGTTGCCCCATTAACTTCTAAAAGAAAAAAACTAAACAAAAAAAGTTCATTTGACTTGTAACGTATCCTTACCAACACTGGCCATTGTAGCTGAAGCACTTGAAAGCAATGATTTTCCCCAGCTTCCCCAAGATCCCCATCCTGTTTGAGTCTTCTCAATGGGACCTGAGACCTGAGTGAAAGAGAACAAGGTAAACAGTTATTTATCTATTCCTTTTAAAAAGAATTAATAGCAATAACAATAGCACTTAGACTTATATACTGCTTCACAGTGCTTTACAGCCCTCTCTAAGCGGTTTACAGAGTCAGCATATTGCCCCGAACAATCTGGATCTCCATTTGACTGACATCAGAAGGATGGAAGGCTGAGTCAATCTTGAGCCAGTTAGGATCGAACTCCTGGCAATGGGCTCAGTTAGCCTGCAATACTGCATCCTAACCACTGCGCCATCACGGCTCTTAAAATTAAAACTAATTTCTAGCAAAGGAAATTCAGGAACAAAATAAAGAATATGTTTTTATATCTCTATTTTACAGCATTGCAGGAAGACTTTCTTTCTGTTAGCAAACTTAGATTCTTAATGGAGAAAGATCTGATAAGACATCAAATAAAAATGTTTATTTTTTATTTGAATGTCTAATTATTCCAGATTAAAGGGGATTCTTAGTAATATAATAAGAAGCGTTATTTAAAAATATTAAAGATATAGTTGTACACAATCCTCAAATTTATCAATATTATGAGAAAAAAACATTTTGATTTGTTAATCAAAATTACGCAACTCTTCATGTCATGTGAATGAATTTAGTCAAGAATAGGAAAATACACTGCATGTTTATTTCTACGTTTCAACAGTTATAGTCACCTTCGCAAGCAGACTTGTAGTAACCGATAATGGAATGGATACAAATTGTGTTCAAATTAATGGCAGAAAAAATAATGATATGTTTCATTTATATTATTGACTTAAGATCGTCAAATAACATGTATTTAATTTGATTGCACATGATATGTTTATCTTTCTTAAGAACTCAGAAGGAGATACAATCCAACCGCAGGTTGAAATTGATAGATTCAGTTTAAACTGCAGAATTAGAATAACTGATTTTTGTAGCTACCACGTTCCCCCCTCCCCACCCCGCAAATGTTTTATTTTGGAAGACAGCGTGAATACTTTGAGATAAAGCTGAAAATTGTTGACAGATTTTAGCATAAATACCAGTATATTTTGCACCTGTGGCTCTTGGGCTGCACTGAGCTCAGTGACTTTGGCTCCTGTTCTTTTCTGGGTCGTGAAGGTAGGTTCAGCTCCCTCTCCATTATTCTTGGTCACCTCTTCATCCATTGACTTCTGCACATTTTCATCAAGTTCACCCACATCTTCTCTCAGTGATTCATTTTCCATTTGGGACATGACCAAAGCATATCCTTGTTTAATAAATAATTGTTATATTTATTTACTTTAGCTTTAATGTCACATATATTTTCAACTTAATTGAATCCCTTTGATTATTTGAGTAAAGCACACCAGCGTAGTAAAACAGCTTACGTACTACTAAATAGGTAAAACCAGATCAGAGTTTAGAGATGGCAAAAAAAAGTTTTCAGAAAACCTATACCACAATTCACCTGGAAAATGAGGCTGATAGTAACTAGTTTATTAGTTGCTCGATTATCCACACAATCTAAATATTAGATGACTTTGAAGGCAATTATAAATAGTAAAGCGCATACATAACACAATTCTATGCATGTTTACCCAGAGATAAGCATCTCTAATTCAATTATTTGCATAGGGATACAAGTCAAGCAATAGATATATAGTTCTGACCACAACTGTTAGATAAGTATTGTTCTAAACTGTCCTTTGAGTAAAAAAATATAGGCATATTAGAATAATTATTGGTTATTTCAATTCCATTAAGAAAATGTAACTATTTTACTGAGATTCTTTAGATTCATCATTCTTTAGATTCATCATCATTCATCATAGCTAACTACTTTCCTCTCCTTTAAGGCAGCAGGCAGAGGAGAATAATAATATGTCCTTTGTTTGGTATACATATAAATTCATAATTAGAATGGCTTTGAAACTGATTGCAAAGCAATTAAATAACAAAACACATTATGTATTTTACAGATGTGTTTTTAATAACAACACAAATAACCTCAAAGGAAACATAGAGCTTCCCATATGACAGCAATTCTTAAACTCTACACACTCCTAAAATTGAAGAGTACATGTAGTCCTCGACTTATGGCTTATGACCACAACTGAGCCCAAAAGTTATGTTAAGTCTTATGTTAATATTAAGTAAGATATTGGTTAAGTGAGTTTTGCCCCATTTTATGACTTTTCTTGCCACGGGTGACTGAATCACTGCAGTTGATAAATTAGTAACCCAGTTAAGCGAAACTGGCTTTCCCATTGACTTTGCTTGTCAGAAGATTCCAAAAGATGATCACATGACTTTGGGGCACAGCAACGGTCATAAATATGAACCAGTTGTTAAACATCTGAATTTTGATCACATGATCATGGGGATGCTGCAAAGGTCATAACTATGAAAAATGGTCATAAGTCACATTTTTAATACCATTGTAACTTTGAACTGTCACTAAATAAACTGTAGAGGACTACTTGTACTGTGAACAGCTAAATCACATTAGATACAATTATTCTTCTTAATTTTGATCCCGCGTACATGTGTGCACCTATGGATAGAACTATCTTTATCCAATTTAGCCTACAGTAGCAGTTCCAAATGTTTCTGACCATTTATGGCAAGTCATTCCACATGAGGCTGAATGTTTTAAATGCCCAGAGGTTTCAGCCCATAATGGCAAGTAAGTTATTAAACCACAATTGGGATTCTAAAAGCACACCATTATATTGCTGAAACAATGACTTTATATTTCTTTCAAGGCCCTATATTGGTTACACTGTTTATTTTTATTTGTTTAATTATATAATTATATCTTGCCTTATAGGATTCAGGACCAAGATATCTTACTGTTTTCCACTTCTTTTTGCTTATTTAGTTCAACTATAATGTTCTGCTATTAATTTAATGTTTAATTAAATACATTTATTTAGAACAAATAATAAAATCAATTATTTGCATGGAACAAAGTATGTTCTCCTCTTCTACTTCACATAGAATTTGAAAATCCTTTCATTAAGAGACCTATCTTTTTCCCTCGTTTGCTTTCTAACATATTTAAATTAATATGAGCTTTATTGTTACATATTTTGCACTTATTAGGCTGATTATTTTGTTTTGACTATCTGAAAATAGAAAAATATGAATAACTTGTATAATAGGTCACTACGTTATGATCTTTGGAACAAGTTTTATACAGCTTTTGTTTAATATGTAGATAATAACATCATCCCAACGGATATGCAAAGTTGTTTTAATAGAATCTACACGACAAGGGTGGGAAAGTGTCAGAAGCATCAGCATTTGATCAACTGAAATCAAAGGCCAAGGATAGGATACATCATGGGTGTCAAACTCGCGATTTGTTGCGATTCTTTTTGCATTGCCGGCAATGGGGTAGGCGCGGCTTTGGCATGATAAAACTGGGCTGCAGGCGGGCAGTTTGACACCTCTGAGATACATTATCAAGAAATACAAAAATAAAAGCATGAAACATTATTCTGGTTTAATTAGAAAAATAATGTGCTTACAATGTATCAAAAAGTGTGCAAAACCTTGGTCTATTTTGAGAGATAGTAAATGGACTGGTTTTTGAAAGTAATTTATACATCAGATTCCTATATTCTTTCCTGCTATTGCCCACTCCCCTCAGGGCAGGATAGGCAGACATATCTCAGTGTAAATGAGAGATGAATCATAATTTCAAAGAAATAATTGCCTTTGCTTATTTGATACAATGAGAATTACCAGTTTAGTGCCTTGCACTTAACATATGAAACCATGCTAGAAATTTGCTTTTTATAAAGAAAAAGCATTTAGCTGGTGCTCCTGCACTAACCATCCCTCACTTTTCTTTGTGTTTCCTTCAGACAATCTTCCCAGCACAGCATATGATGCCTATCTTATTTTCCAGGCCTGTGCTGTTATTATGCACACTTGCTCATAGATTATTCCACTTATCCAAATGACCTTTCAGCCAACTGTTCATATTTAGAGTATTACATCAGTGTTGCATAAGGTTGAAAGACTTTAGTCCCACAACTTTATATAAGAGAGGCAGAAAAACAAGAAAAAAATATGTGGAGGAGGGGCCAAAGTTAAGTTTATTAAATGTGGCAATAAAGGAGGAGGAGGAGGAAATAGTTAAGAGTAAACAAAAAAGTAAGTAGGAGTCAGTAAAGACAAGTGTTAGCTGTAAAAGCCACATCGTTCCAAGATGCAACCTTTGGTATGAGAAAGAACAGACACCTACCTGAATTTAGAGGATGGACTCCAATCAAACTGTAATTACCAGCCCAAACTCAGCTACTTCTGTCTGATCTAAAAGATCAAGATCTTCTAAAACAAAAGGATCCCCTAAGAATCTGTGAACAGGGCAAATAAATACAGAAGTCTTACACTATTCTCTTCCTCTCACGCATATGCATTCCAGCAAAACAACTTTCTTCAACACAGCAGCCTTCAAACCCTGAAGATTGCAATTACCATTCTCCCTGGCCAGAAGCCCCACTGCCTTTCTGGGAGTTGTAGTCCAGTCTACAACTGGCAAGCAGTCAAGGAGGGAGACTCGGGATATACCCACGCAGATGGACCCTCTTTATTTATTTATTCCACTCAACTGGCATGGATTTCAACTGGCATCATCACTAACGGAAACTTATGGGAATAAATGTTCCTAACCAGAGCAAAACAGCAAAGACATAAAAAGGCACTTCCAAGTAACAAAAATACACCTTGTATAGAAACAGAAACTCGAAGCGCAGGGACTGTCCTCTCCGGACCCTGCAGTCAGCACGCCTTTTTCCTTCTCTCCACTGAAATATCTCACCAGAAACAGCCACGTCTCTATGGCCCCAGCACGCCAGATTATTGTACTTCAACCATGGAGAGGAGGAAAGAGCGTCACTGAGCCGGAAGACAGGTGACCTCGTTGTTTTCGTTACCGGATATGACGAATTTGCAGGAAAAGTTACCGACCAGCTGCTAGTTGAACAGGTAGGCCTGGCTGTCTTCGTGGTGGGCCTTTGAGAGGGCGAGGATGGGCATAGAGGCCGGAAAGAGAGACCGCAGCCGACGTTCCTCGCTAAACAGGAGCGATCAAGCGCGATGTGAGGGGGAGGGATGATGTTGTTGGCGCAGTGGAGATGGTGGTGGAAAAATTGCCCGCAGGAGTGCGGTGGTATATCGCCGCGGAGGGATAGGCCAGGCTGTTACTACTCCGCTCGTGTATCGGAGAAGCAATGCAGATACAGTAAGGTGCCCTAACTCAGGAGTGGGGAACGATGGCCCTGTTATGATTTGTGGACTTCAACTCCCAGAATTCCTGAGCCCGCCATGGTGGCTCAGGAATTCTGGGACTTGAAGTCCACAAGTCATAAAGGGTCCTTCATTCCCCACCTCTCCCCTAAATCAACAGGGTCGGAGAAAGAGCTGCGCCTGTGTTGAGTTCCTCAGTCTGGGCTGTCGGGATGAACTGGGCCCACAGATTTTCCAGGCAGTTTTAACTTGAGCTCTCACACCTTGCCTCTCGATGGAGTAAACAATAATCATAATAGTACTTAGAAGGATGGAGTCAGTTTGGTGCAGTGGTTAAGGTACCAGGTCAGAGCCTAGGAGACCAGCAGTTTTAGTCCCACCTTAAGTATGAAGCCAGTTGAGTGACCTCGGACCAGTCATTCTTTCTCCCAGCCTTAGGAAGAAGGCAAGGGCAAACCACTTCCCAAAAACTGCAGGGACATGCACAAGCAGTCTCCAGGTGATTCGAAGTCACCCCAAATAAATAAGGATATCCCAAGAAAGGTCCATAAGAACATCAGTCTACAATCAGACAACAAATATTCCAAAAATTTAGTATCAGATTTCAGAAGCATCAACATCCTGATGTCTGTCTGTCTGTCTATCTCTCCATCACACACACACACATTTCATTTCCCCTAAATATTGTCTGTGCCTACCTTTGGATCATTGCAGTAAAATGAAATATATGTACCTTGTGATATCTTTGCTGAATGTTTGATTATGTTGCATTGCCTGAATAATTGCATTAGTTATTGTGAAGGCTGATGTTGTGAAGCACAGAATCTTGGTAATTATAGCTAATAATTCTTAAGAAACCTTTGGGGACTGGATATAAAATGTCAATCTCAGCTCCTGGTTGCTTCGTGTATATATTTGTTGCCTTCAAAGATATTTTTCATTTAATCCAAAGATTAAGTGAAAAGAATGTTTTTCAGTTAATTGTCTTTTATATTAGGTGTTAAATAACATGTAATAGTTTAATGATTAATATCTTACAAAATGATTTAATAGTAAGGGGTACAGTTTGTAAGCAGGTATGGAAAATAGCAGTGGTCAGGAGATTAGGAAAGATTAGATAGCAAAAAAGTCTGTGGAATAATGGAAAAATTCAGTAGCATTCAAAACTATTGTGTATTATGCAAACTTGCTCCCATACTTAGGGAGCATATGCAATTGGTGCATATGATTACCTCGAGCTTTTGAAAGCTGATTATTTTCTCAGTTAGAAATCAGAGACTAATTATCACCTTTGATAGATTCTATGAGGTTTTATGAAAATAATAAATAAAATAAAACTCTGAGGAAGAAGTTTATGAAATGCTCAACACTTCTTAAAATTAGTAACTCAAGCATCATCTGAGAAAAGGACTGACCATGATGCTGAGAATATTGTCAAGGAAATGTCACTAGAGATGGTAGCATCAAAATAAAATATTTGTTATTCTGCACAGAAATAGGCTTGAGGATAGATACCACAAGTTCAATTATTTTTTTATCCCAGTAATTGAGAACTTTGACCCCAATAGTTGCATCACCTTCTTCATGATTTTTAGAAACTGCCATCAGAATAGGTCAATTTGTGATTCAACATTGAAGCAAGTCACTGATGTGTTTCATTAAACATTTTGTGGGAGTTAATGTGGTATCCCTCTTTTTCTAAAGCAGCTACTGTAAAGAGATTATTGCCTAAATACATTTTAATCTTCCTTTTTGAAGCACTGAAGTATTTTGCCAGAAAATGCACTAAGTGTGTAATTGTATCTACTAATTTGGGGGTTAATTCATTTTCTTTTTCAATTTTTTTTATTCTTTGCTAAAGCTTTTTCTGCTACCTGTAAATATTGATATATGCATTTCCAGCTGTATCAATTGCTTCACTGAAAAACACATTATATTTGTCTGTTGATACACCTGCAAATTTGTATAATCATTTTGTGATACTGCCCCAGTCATCAAAACCCAAGAATTGGGTATACTTGATCATGCTAACTCACTTTGCAAAGCAGCTCTTTCAAAGGCTTTGCCAAGCCCTATTGAGAGTTATTTTGTTTGGTCTGGTTTCAACACAGTGATCTTTATATCATATAATTAAAACTCATTAACATTCTATCATTTAGATAGTTTAAAGTATTGAAAAGGGAAGAGAAAACAATATTCTATTCCATCAATATTAATTACAATTTAAAATATCAATTAGAATAAGTGTAATATTTGACTTTTTAACCCAATGTTGAGTATAGTCTTGAGAAAAGAACTGCCGCAACTTACATCAAAGTATTCATTGTATGAGAAAGATTTCAATCTTAAGCTGATTACTTAATATTAAAGTCTCAATTGTTTCATGAAAGGAAATAACAGATTCAGCAAATTTAACAAGAAATTAAAAACTAAAAAATAGAAAAAAAATGAAATAAAAAACATGGGATTTCTGAAGTTTTTATATATTTGCCAATTTGCAATATTTGTAGACAGTTAAGCCTCCTTAGAAATCAGATTATAAGTGATTATGTTTGCCATTCTGCATAATGTGTTGTATTTATGGGAATCCTTGTTGATCAAATTTATGTATGTGTACAAATAAACGTGTATGTGTATATACAAACACACACACACATATATCATATGTATGTATGCAAATATGTATGTTATTACTGCTTACTCTTTAAGTCCAAGCTTCCAATAAGATATCAGAACTGCATTCCTCTTACATTGTTTGGTCTGGTTTCTCTTCAAATCATATAAAGCTTTGATTTTTTACTATTAGAATTATTTTAGACTGAGATCAGTTACTAGATCTGTCAGGGTGGATTTGATATAAATTAAGTTGATTTAAATCATGATTTAAATCACTAGTAAAAAGGCTTGATTTAAATCAAATTGATTTAAATCATAATTTTTAAAGAGCACTTGTCATCTCTGTCCTGCAATGGCTTCTCCTCTGACCTGTTGTTGACTCACCAACAATCCCATTCACTTTAATGGGATGGCTGGTGATGCGACAGTGACACAACAAGGTGAGGGATGTGGCGGGCAGCAGGTGAGTGGATGCCCGCTGGCAGGCACTGCCATGATGGATCTACAATGACAGATGCTCTTTAAACGTAAGGACTCATCCTTGCTGGTAGTTAGAATCTTTAATATTATTATTTGCAAACAAAATGAAGGTTTCCTATTTAGAATAATAAGCTGTCAGGTTAGTAAAACAGCGATATCAGAACCGATTTTAGGTTAATAGGTTAATCACACATAGTTAGAGAACTACTCAAATTCTTTTATTTAATTAAAACATTTAGAGCCTGGTACAGATGGATTTCTCTTTAAACAATCATACAGTTTGCAGTGTACATAGATTTGCAAAACAATGGGATAAAGAAATATTCCTGAACTTTGTTTTATGATTTATCTCATGGTTACTGTGAAATTGTGTGAATGCATCAAGCAGTGCATGTTATCTCAGCTTGCAGAGCTTAGATTCATTGAATGAGTTTACTAAAAATGAAAATATTGCAGAATATACAGTCTCGTGCTACACGATTAAGCTCCATTTCATGCTGAATAAACTGTTAATGTATCTTGAATAGAAAACTATATTTAGATAGATTTTTACTCCAAAAGCATTATTAAAATAAATTTGATAAAAATAAAAAAATCCAATTTAAATTTTAAAAATCTGATTTTTTAATTTTTTTTAAAAAACCATCAATTATTATCCACCCTGAGTTCTGTTATCTTTCATTTTCATTTAGCAAATAATAAAATACAAATAGAAGGTATATTTGTATTTTATTTTTGAACTACCGTAAATGCCGGCGTACAAGGCGACCCGGCGTATAAGACGACCCCCGTCTTTATAGCCGGGCCACATTCCTAGAACGTCATCTTATATGCCGGAAACTACCAGTATTTCCGGCGTATAAGACGACTCGGCCTATAAGACGACCCCCGTCTTTGGCGCCGATTTCAGCACTCGCGGAAGTCGCCTTATACGCCGGCATTTACGGTATGTTATTTTTTTCCAAAATGTTGAGGAGAGGTATTAAAATGTAATGTCAAGTAATCAGTTCTATGGAGTTGATCAGGGAAGGAGCCATTGCAAATACTGTCAACTGTTAAGAAAGCTCAGGTAGGGAAATGGGGGGAGACTTTTGTTAGTGGAATTTGCGTTTTTGATGGCAACTTCCACAGACAGAAGATATTGTTCCATTGATAGCAATAGCACTTAGACTTATATACTGCTTCACAGTGCTTTACAGCCCTCGGTTTACAGAGTCAGCATATTGCTCCCAACAGTCTGGATCCTCATTTTACCGACCTTGGAAGGATGGAAGGCTGAGTCCACCTTGAGCCGGTGAGACTCGAACTGGCAAACTGCTGGCAGACAGGAGTCAGCAGAAGTAGCCGGTAGTACTGCATTCTAACCACTGCGCCACTAGGGCTCTTTTGATGGTAGAAACTCTGGATCCAATCCTATAATATAAGAAGGAAAATAGGTCATGTGGCCACCACAAATCAGTTACTTCTTTCATTTCTTTTCTTGTTATTATTATGTAAGCTAGGTCTCAGTTATGGCAATTTTAACTGTAATATCCTTTTCATAAGTTTTACAAACCCATACAGCAGGGGTTCCCAACCGAGGGTGCTTGCACCCCCTGGGTTTGCGAGACAATATTCCAAGGGGTACGAAAACTTGGGTTTAGAAGTTTCAAAATTATAGTGTATATGCATAATTTGTTGCTGTTGTTTCAAACTTTTGTAAGGGGTGCAAGACTATATAAGAAGTGTTCTAGGAGTGTGGGGTATAGAAAAGGTTGGGAACCACTGCCATACAGTTTTGTATTTTTTAATAACTCACATTCATGTTTTTTAGAATTTTAGTTGGATTTCTCATGTACTTGCTCTTTAGGCATCTTCAAAGACAATGGTTGATGCATCACTCAATATCTTCTCTGGTGATCAAGATAATGCACATTGTTTCAGTGTTAACTTTCTTCAGTAATTAAATTCAACAAAAGAAGCTCTTAATTTTAAGCTTCCATGAAGTTCAGCTGCTGCCTGTTGATTCTGGTTCTTAACCTCAGTGTTTTTGCTGAAGAAAATGTTACTTCCAACCGGACTATGGGATCAAGGTTCCTGCCTCTCAACATATCACTTCTCCCTGTCTTTCAAGTCTTGGCAAAATCTCCAGTTCCTCAGGATATCATAGCAAAAGAAGGTACCTGTGTTTTCATTGAATGTAATTTAAACATTAGCCAGCGGGACACCATATTCTGGTACAACTCAAAGGGGCATCTTCTGGAGCAAGGTGGAAGAGGTAAGACACATATTTGTCTAAACTTACAATAAGCTTGACTCAATATGTAATGCGCATAAAGGTTTTCTTCTTTGTCACATTCCATTAATAAGCACGAAAGAAAAAATATAAGAGATGTGAGATCACAATGCTTAAAAGTATCTGTATTACAATGTACTACAAATCTCTCTTAAATTACAACATTGGACAGTTAAGAATTTATAGATGTATATATTGATGTATATATAGAGATATAATTTAATGATCTTGCAATAAATAGGTTGTTCAATCAAGTTGCTTCAACATTATAATCATTTGGAATTTGGAGTGAAAAGAATCTGCAGGAAAATCTTTGAATGCCTGACTGAACAACAGCATTTTCTGAAGCAGTCTCCTTTAAAGAGTTTACAAGAATTTACAAGAGCTGCAAGGAAGATTGGATTTGCAGCAACAGAATTCTTTCTCTTAAGAAAGAACAAGTTAAAGAAACCCCAATCAGATCCTGAATCTAGTTATTTGAATCCCATCTGTAGGAATTAAGTTTACATTGCATAGAGTTTCCAAGAAAATTGGAATCTTAAACCAAAGTTGCTGCAAAGATTTAAAGATCATTGTTTTGACTATTAATTTAGACTCTGGATGAGAAAGCCCCCTTTCATGCAGGCATTAAAATATTTTATCCAAGTATCCACTTGCTGTTATTCTCTAGAGGATTTAACTACAATTGCAGTATTCACAAAGAGATATTTTCATAGAAAAAAAGGAAAATAAATGGGTAACATTAATCCAAAATAAAAGGTATTTGTAGAAATCTGGTATGGAATATTTCTTCCTGCTAAACTTCATGTGGTTTATGTTTGTTCTACAGCATGAGGAACAACAGTTTTTAAAATTCAGAACAGCTCCCAGAATTAAAGGCAAATTAGAATAAAAGAGTATTTAAACCAATTTATAAATAATTAAAGAGAAATTCTGGGTGTATATTTATTGGGAGATGGGACCATAACTGAAATGGCCCCATCTTTTGTGAGAAAATATAAAAGCATAATTTGATCTTACAATATTAAGATATTTTTTTTTCTATTTGTATCTTTAGGTGGAAGACTGGTGATCTCTGACAATATCCTCAATATCACAAGTGTAGTCTTTGGTGATCGGGGACGATATACTTGCAGTGTCACAAATGACAATGGCACTTCTTATTATTCAGTCACCCTCAGAGTGGTCTCCACCTCTGGAGACATGGGCATTTATTACATGATTGTCTGCCTAGTTGCTTTTACTATCATCCTAATCTTAAATATTACACGTTTGTGCATGATGAGCAGCCATCTTCGTAAAACGGAGAAAGCCATCAATGAGTTCTTCAGAACTGAAGGGGCTGAGAAGCTACAGAAGGCTTTTGAAATAGCCAAACGCATTCCTATTATTACCTCTGCCAAAACTTTAGAGCTGGCCAAGGTCACCCAGTTTAAAACCATGGAGTTTGCTCGGTACATTGAAGAACTTGCCAGAAGTATCCCTCTGCCCCCTCTAATCCTTAACTGCAAGGCCTTTATGGAAGAAATATTTGAAGCAGTGCATGTTGATGACCCTGATGAAGTTGGAGATGGAGTGAAACAAACCCAAGCACTTGGTGTCCAAGAGGGACTCTATCCCTTAAACCCAGAAATAAAGCGCAGCAATTCACCAGCAGGAGATTCAGATGACGGTTCAATGAATGACCACGGCAAAGAAATAGCTGTGGAGGTATCTGTCCACCTTCAGTCAGAAGCACAAAGTATTGATACTGTTTCTCAGGATAGTGTCCCCTCCCTGCCATCGGAGGATGGCCCGAGGGCTGAATCCAAATAGAATAGCAAAGCTACTTGTATGACATTCCTCCTGATTTGGGAGAATGTTCTGAAAGAGAAAAGGGAAAATCCCACTGTAGTCGCAGATGCATGATCCCTGTTGGTTTTTTGTTTTAAATGTTGTTAGGTAACTTTAAAATCAGCTTAGATCAGTGTTTCTCAACCTTGACCATTTTAAGGCATGTGGACTTCAACTCCCAGAATTCCACAGCCAGCAACGCTGGCTGTGGAATTCTGGGAGTTGAAGTCCACATGCCTTAAAATGGTCAAGGTTGAGAAACACTGGCTTAGATGAAGCTATTTTAAAGTTCTTATTAGGAATGTTATAACTAATCTTAGAAGCATTTTGCAGCAGGAATCCTTTCTACCAATTATAATAGAGTGGACAAACTTTTGTTGGCTGATGTGGTACAGGTTATTATTTTTGTGAAAGAAAGATTGCAGCAAATAGGGCACTGATGGCATAATATCAAGAAAAATAACTGGGGACTTTGTTACATTTCCCCCCACTTTTTAGCGTGCTAAGATTAAAACAGGCACGGTACGCCTTTGCTTGCTCTTAAAAACTAAAATGAAGGCTGGTGAGTTATCTGTTCATGAGATACAGCAGAATAATACGTTGATGTGAATAGTTTTTGCCATATCTACTCAGAAACGTAGATTCTTATATGTGCTCAGTTCTTTTATTAAAAGAAGTTTTATTACAGTTCACAAGTGTACTGTACAAGAAATTATAAGGTTCAGGTCATTGCAAAACAAATGCTATAAAAAGACTATGTGATTGTTACAATTGAAAAACGTATGAAATATCCAGAGATTCAATTGTCTGTATCTGTGTTCCTGTTCAGTATTTGCATTAGAAAATAGGAATCCAAGTGCAACCTTTGCATTGCAGCCAAGGATGGACCACTTAAATATTCTGCCAATTGCCAAGTATTTTAATAAGTGAGGCTTGTTTTCTCGGTTATACTCATAATATCAGCTTTTGGAATATTCTTTCATTTCATTTCATTGCCGTGGTGAAATGACAAAATCTTCAGGTTCTCTTGGTGTTATGATAAAAACAATGACAACTTCGGTATTAGTGATTATAACCTTCAATCTTCTTCATTTAGTATACTGAATTGTGGCCAATGTTGAGGACAATGTCATTTGATAGCAGTTATAGGTGTTTCATGAAAATTACCCCAGTGAAGCTTTTAACATGAGCCAATGATAATTTGGGTGAAAAAGATATACAGTTAGAAAAGCAGGCTGAGGATTGCTATCTACAGAGTAACATTTGTCCTGGTCCTAATGAAAAATCTGGGGAAATTTCAAAGGGCAACACCATACTACAGTAAGCAACCAATATGGACATTTAACTGATTCCTCTTGTTCAACAGTAGTGTAACTGCCTACTACAGCCGTGGTGGCGCAGTGGTTAAAATTCAGTACTGCAGGCTAATTCTGCTGACTGCCAGTTTGATCCTGACTGGCTTCAGGTTGACTCAGCCTTCCATCCTTCCAAGGTTGGTAAAATGAAGACCCAGATTGTGGGGAGGCAGTATGCTGACTCTGTAAACAGCTTAGAGAGAGCTGTAAAACACTGAAACAGTATATAGGTCTAAGTGCTATTGCTACTGCTTCAGGCTACAGATATGAAATAATAAAGTTAAATCTCACATTAAAAAAAAAGCAGACACAAACCTTGTAAATTCAAAATTAAATTGTTGAGGGTTTAATTTAGTCAGTTGTTGCCTGTTGTTTCCCTCACATACATTTGTATGAAGCTTTTAACTTTTCTAGAAAATTACTTCAGATATCTGAAGTGATGCAATCCATCATATAATCATCTCCTACTATAACAGTGTTTCTCAACCTTGACAATTTTAAGGCATGTGGACTTCAACTCCCAGAATTCCACAGCCAGCATTGCTGGCTGTGGAATTCTGGGAGTTGAAGTCCACATGCCTTAAAATTGTCAAAGTTGAGAAACACTGTACTATAAGCAGGTCTGTCCTTTTCTTATGCTATGAGGTCACATTTGCTAATGAAATAAAACTGTCCCTTTCTCTTCCAGCCATTTGAATAAATCCAGTTCATATAAGGATTTTTTTTAGGGGTGGGGGAAACAACTCTTAACATAGTTTCCTTCTTAGCTTTAAAAAAAATGACTTAAAAAAATTAAATAGTGCAAGGGTAAATTTATGATAGATATGAAATCCTTCTTGCTCTAGCAAAAGTTGAAGAAACATGATTTTTGAAGGAATCTGTTATATTTATAGCACAAGTGGGTGGCAAGCAGTTGTAGTAATGGCACCTGGGCATTTGAGTCATTGGCAGTAATGCCCATCTGTTTAACAGATTGTTTAAGAAAACAATACCTCACAATATTTAGCTTAATTTTCTTAATATTTGTTTCTGTTTCTGAAGCAAAATAGATCATGCAGGCTTAGCTTGGCAAAGGGATGTATTTGTAAATATAGAATTATGTTTCTGTTCTATAAATCATTTTTAGGTATAACCTATAAAAAGAGAGGATATTGGTTTGCATCACTTTCTTTAGTGAAAGAAAGGCAGGACAGAGACAAGCAATTTAGATGGCTTAGATGTAAAAATCATGTATGGTGAATATTGTGCAGTATGGGTAGTCTTTTTTTTAAGCAGAGATTTTTACCAAATATTGTTTTAGTGTTATGAACATATTTGGAGAACTATTGTGGGTGGTATGTACTTGTTTTAAAAAAATGATGTAACCTTATGAAAAAACAACGCAAGACTTCTCAAATGGGCAACAAATTTTTATGAATAATCGGGCAAGAGCCCAGCCATAAAGCTATTATTACTGAACATTAATTGGAAGTTCAGTTTTGCCTGTTTTTGTGTGTGTAAACTAATTTATGTTAGTAGACATGAGGTTGTCTTCTTATTTCTTCAGCTGTAGTGTTTTGTGAAAATATTAGAAAACTTTGTTCACCAAAATGTGGTTTCAGCATTACATTTGTAGCTTGGGAGTTGCCATAATTATATTTCATACTTTTATATAAAAATAAGATGGTGCTTTTTTCCAATAGTAAATCTATTATTAAATGCCTGAACTGTGTTTCTGGTTTTATGTATTATTATCTATATGCTATATCCTATATGCTATGTTAATACCTTAAAGCCCTGCGGTCATATGTAGTCATTTACATATGTTATATATACAAGTGATTGTAGACTTCTGCAATTTCTGTCAGTTGGTCCTCTGTAATATATGCATTATTGATTGATTTTCTATCTGGTTACATGGAAAATAATAAAAGAAACTATTGTATATAAATCTGCTTTTGAAATATTTAAGCATTAAATGCATATATCAATAGGGATTTAAAATGCAAAAATAATCAATAAATGGCTTGCCTGAATTTTGCTTTAGTGTCTCCATATCAAAAGAGTTGCAAAAAAAATAGAAACTACGGGTATAGCAGGACCAGCATTCTGATTCCTCTCACAGCCTAATATCATCATACAGTGTCCCTCTGTCTGATATCTTCCAGACCTATTGAACTAAAGTTTCCATTATAACTGAGTAGAAAACCACTGTATGATCTCCCTTCCAGAGATCATAGCAAAACCTCAAGTCACTGCGCTGTTTCTCTGTTTTAAACTTCCCTTCCATTTTCTCATTTCTTACAGAGAAGCCCAACGCTGCATCTGGATATTGATCACTGAGGAGCACACAGTTGCCTCTTATTCCAGTTTTGAAAGCCCTTGCAACTCTAGGATTTATTTCTTTAGCAAAATCTTACCCTTCCTTTACCCTAGCTCCATTACTTTTTCAGCCATAGCGCTCAGCCCTTAGCTTAAATTTGCTAAGCACTATATAATATTTAGAAAGGTCCTATTTATTCCCAGTTCCTAAATCAAGATGTAGCACGACAGCAGTAAGAGGAGGGTAGATCATTGGAGGCATCTTTATCAAAATAAAGTGCTATATATATACAGATTACCCATCCTTGAATAAGCTAACCCTTACTTTTTTTTAACCAAATACCGTGAAAAATGTGCCACTTGTGATAAGCTGACCCTCAAAATGTATATACATTTTAATCTTCATAGTTGACGTATCTGTGGGTGGCACATTTTTCACAGTATTTGTGTTAAAAATTCAAGTGTTGGCTTATCCAAGGAAGGGCTTCTCTGTGAGTATATACAGGTACTTTAAATTAGTATTACTGTATCTGCTTTCATTCTATTCACACTGATCATCTAATGCAATACAAGAAGGGACAATTATATAATAGTTGACAATTCTGAACAAGGCAGTAGAATATGTAACCCTAATGTGTAATACTAATCATTAAATAATAGGGTAAATTCACAATTCTTGCTTAATAGTAAAATCAAAAGAAAATTTAGTGAGCTTAGAGCACAATTAAACATATAAACCCATCAAAGCCAAGGAAAAATATCTATATAAAGCATTTGTGTCTATCTTTTGTTGGTTATCTGCACATATATATTGGAAGACACTACTTGGATTTCATTTTTGTGGGGCTTATTTTCAGCTAAATTAATCTAATCCATTACCTTATATAGAGTCAGCCAATGATTGAACCTTGCTGGTAATCATCATATATTCATTTTCGGTTCTGTCTTCCTTAAATGTAAAGTTTTGTTAATTGTAATTATACACATTTAACACTAGAGGCAGCTGTTGTTTTGAAGAACATGGAGACAATATCAAGTTAGCCAGAAGATACATGTTTTAAAAAACTAGCAACCTTGAACTAGCTGGACAAATAAACATTCAAGTTTATTATATGTTCAAAAAGATTATGATTTTGGTTGATATTGGTTTTCATACTGTTGCTATATATCTTCCAACCATGGTACATAATTTTAGCTTAGATAAACTAAAATTAGCAGCAGTCCTCATTTCAGAGATGACAGGAAACAAAAATTAGTTGAAGATCCAAACAAATCCTTCTCTCTTCTTCATTTAGGCATACTGGGGTCCCAGGTTTATCCCATCATGCTGATCAAGGCATTAGCTTTATATCCTAGTGTTGCCAGAGAGACATAAAACAAATAGAGAAAGGGAGAGAGAAGTAGGAGGAGATCATGATATAGAGTAGGACTGTATTAGGACTAAAGTCCAGGTTCAAGTCTATGCTTAGCCTTGGAAGGTGATAGAATGGCTTGGGCTATCAGCTGTCTCATGGCAACACAGTTACCCACACAGAGGACTCATCATAAAGTCAAATTGGAAGGGTACTAAATGTACCTCCTTGAATTTCAAGAAAGCTTTAAATCTTACATGGTGTTTTGAAGGCCTAAATCTCTCCTTCTACCCATAATGAGCTGCTGCCTCAATGGAGAGCCTATAAGCTGATCTGCTGCAACACATCAATGGACTTATCAAACAATTGTAGTTAGGTGGTGGTCATTTTGCATTTTATAAGGTATGAACTAGAACCATGTTAAGTTTCCAAGCTTCCGATGTAAAGTCTAGCACGTCATTCATGTTTTCTAAGCAGAAAGGGCACACATACTCCAAAATTGAAAGCCAATGCTCCAGGCATTAGTTTGGTAGTAAAGAGGATGGATGATCAATGTTAATCTGGATTCACTGTGCCGTCTAATCAATTGGTATTGATGTTTTGTTCACATTAGGCATATTTACTGTTCAGTTGACACATGTGCCTGCTTTGCTTCTGCTGCAGAATCAATCCACATACAGTGACATTTGTGAAGAAGATATACTGATCTCCGGGACAGAGAATTTTTATTATGCACTAAGCTTTCATTAGCCACTGCTAACACTGTCAAAGTGTAACCTAACATTGGAGAAACATTGCTTTTTATAGTCCTTTAAGTATCAATGATTTAGCCATGGAGCGCATAATAGGTCTGTCAGTTCGCTACCCGCATGCAATTGGATGTATCGCTCTCGAATCAGCTGTGTTAGTTGATGTCTGCCTAGTTCGTGTTGCTCTGCTTCCCGCCACCTGCTTTGTAGACTGTGTATGGTTGTCATATGGCATCAGACTGTCTGGTGTTACCACGTGGTTGCTCCTCCTACTGCCATGGTCCAGTATTCTATTGTCACCTCATGTGGTTACTTTGGTTGGTGGCTTCCCAGTCATGCTTATGGTGTCGGTCGCATTGGTTTGTTGTCTCATGCTCAATCTCGTAGCCGGTCCAGTCCGTTCTCCTGTGTCCTTGATGACTTCAAATCATGCAGGCATATCAGTTGGAGTGCAACAACAATCTCTCACCTTTTTATCCTGGGTGACTGCATGAGAGGGGTGGTGGTTGTCGATTTGCACCTTCTGGCCCCTTACGCAGTTGCTTGTGATGCCTTAGTGTATGATATGCCGGTAACAAGTCAATATGCCAATATGATGGAATATTGGTCAGACAGCCAAGCCTCCTTTAACAGTCAACCGCTCTTTGTAGAACAGCCTTTATTTCTGAAGGTTCAGGCCCTGGTACCAAAATGCCACCATCTATGCATAAGGGAGAGCTATCATAAAACTTGAACCAAAAACTCAAAGTGTCTGTGTGACCCTAGAGCCGTGGTGGCGAACCTATGGCACACATGCCACAGGTGGCACACAGAACCCTCTGAAAGATTGTGACGTTGGAATTGATTGATTGACCTTTTTCCCCCAAAAAAATCTTCCTTTGTTTCCTTGCATGCAGCCGCA